GAGGCAGGGAACTCTTAGAAGAGCTCTTGGCCTTGGGATTTTGTACTTTGTAACTTTTCTTGTAATAACCGCATTCTCCATATCAATTACTTATTTTTGCTTCTATCTCACTTATTCATTCTACTATTTTCTACCTTTCATGTCCCCTTATTTTTTAACAATCATGAAAGAATGGTGCTAAAAAATAATTGAGCAAATTGAGAACAAATAACACAAGTAGTTCTGACTAGAATGCCAGTGTTTCATGAATAAAACAACTTGAGATTTTTAGCATGCCAAGTTCTAAATACTAGAGTACCATCTCGAAGGTTCGGTAGTACATGACATCTATCGAACTTTCAGGGTAGACGAATACCTTCTTAACTATATAGTTGTTGGTGAGCACTTCAATCACCAGAGTTTCATGACTGTTGGAAGCATCCGGGACGGGGTCACTCGGGCCATACGTGATCACCTCGATTAGACGAGAATTCATCTCGACCTGATCCGAATTGGCTTGTCTGTAGGTTTTCTTCCGGGAGTTCTGGCTATCTTCTCTCATCGGACCTCTTGCTATGATGTTAATGACCCCGACTATGTTTGACCCATAATCGGGAGACCCATCTCAGGGAGCCTTTCTCGTTTTCCTAGGGTCATCAGGGGCTCGGCAATTACTCCTTGGCCCCCGCCTATCCTTTCGCTGTTGATCACCTCGGTTCTCTCGGCGGGAGTCACTTCTGTTGGAGCCTCCATCTCTGCGGATGAACTACTTTAAATACCCTTGCTTGATTAAGTTCTCTATCTCTTTTTTGAGGTCATTACAATCCTCAGTCTCATGTCCAACATCTTGACGGTACAAGCAGTAGAGATTGGAGTTTCTCTTCTCCCGCTTCCCTGTTATCTTAGCAGGAGCTCGATCGAGGTGATTCTGCTCCATTACTGCCAGGATGTGTGACTGATTGGTATTCAGGGAGGTGAGTTCGGAGTCAGAGATGGACTGCTTGCCCCTGGCAATCTTATCAAAAACGCTCCGACGATCACGGGAAGAACTTAGTGCTCCTCCACTGGGCCCTTGATAGCCTCAGCCAGTTTCTTTTTTCCTCATATAGTCATGATCCGCTCGCGTAACTTGAGCTTCCCTCTTCATGCAATTCAGGTCTTCGTTCTGGATACCCTTGTCTACCTTGAGCCATAGCTCCCGAAGTATTTGGGGGTACTTCCGATGTACCTCCGTGTTGAACACTCCGCCGACCAACCCGTTAGTGAAAGTGGCTATAGTTACTTGTTTATTCGAGTTAGGTATTTCCACACTCTCCTCATAGAATCTCTGCACGTAAGAGCGGGGAGATTCACTGGAAGTCTGTTGTATGTTCAAAAAGTAGGCCGAGGTCTTTGTCATTAGCTTGGAGGATACAAATTGGTGGATAAACTTATCTATTAGCTCTCCCAGGAAGGCTATGCTCCTACGTTCTAAACTCCAAAACCATTTTTGAGCATTACCTTATAGGATGACTGGAAAGGCTCGAAAAATGTTGAATCAGGGACACAATATAACCAGAAAGCAGAAATGAAGGCATGGAGGTGATCTTCAGGATCACCTCGTCACCTCGTCCATCATAATACGGCAATACTGGAAGTTTAAAATTTAAGGGAACCCTTTCCTTATTAATGTTATCCGTGAAAGGTGTAGCCCTCGTATAATCCACCTCTAACCCCCTTGGGCACCGGGGTGTCTCCGTTGAGCATTTTCCCAAGAGATCTTGGGTAAAGACCTTTGAGATGAAAGCTATTTTAGAGGTGGACCTAGATAAAGCACGCTTGGAGGGACTACGAATAGGATATCTATCATCAGACTCCTTCTCCGAGGGGATCTCAGGAGACTTGGCTGACCTCCTCTTGGAGGATTCAGCTTTTGTTTACCCTGCCTCTTGAAATATCTCCCCAATTCCTCAAAAATATTTGGATTTTCTGCCACAAACTCTGTCATTCGGGCTATGACTTCTCCGTTTGTTGGCTGAGCCCCTTGAGATCCCTACCCTTCAGAAATGTTCTCACCATTGGATTGAGCCAAGCGCTGCAGCCCAACAAGAAAACATTTATGAAGGACAGGGATCTCAAGGGGCTCAGCCAATAAATGGAGAAGTCATAGCCCGAATGACAGAGTTTGTGGCTCAAAATTCAAATATTTTTTACGAATTGGGGAGGTACTTGAAGAGGCAGGATAAACAAAAGGCTGAATCCTCCAAGAGGAGGTCAGCCAAGTCTCCTGAGATCCCCTCGGAGGAGGATTCGGATGATAGACATCCTGTTCGTAGTCCCTCCAAGCGTGCTTCATCCAAGTCCACCTCCAAAATAGCTTCCATCTCAAAGGCCTTTACTCAAGATCTCTTGGGAAAGCGCTCCAGGAGGGACTCCGACGCCCAATGGGGTTAGAGGTGGATTATATGAGGGCTCTACCTTTCACAGATAACATTAATTAGGAAAAAGTTCCCTTAAATTTTAATCTTCCAGTATTGCCGCATTATGATGGACGAGGTGATCCTGAAGATTTCTCCATGCCTTCATTTCTGCTTTCCGGTTATATTGTGTCCCTGACTCAACATTTTTCGAGCCTTTCCAGACATCCTATAAGGTAATGCTCGAAAATAGTTCTGGAGTTTAGAACCTAAGAGCATAGCCTCCCTGGGAGAGCTAGTGGATAAGTTTATCCACCGATTTGTGTCCTCCAGGCCAATAACAAAGATCTTGGCCTACCTTTTGAACATACAGCAGATTCCCGGTAAATCTCTCCACTTTTACATGCAGAGATTTCATGATGAGAGCGTGCAAATACCTGACCCGAATGAGCAAGTAACTATAGCCATTTTTACTAACGGGTTGATCGCCGGAGTATTCAATACGGAGGTATATCGGAAGTACCCCCGAACACTTCGGGAACTATGGCTTAAGGTAGATAATGGTATCCAGAGCGAAGACCTGAATTGCATGAAGAGGGAAGCTCAAGCTACGCGAGTGAGTCATGACTTTATGAGGAAAAAAGAAACTGGCCGAGGCGATCAAGGGCCCAGCGGAGGAGCATCAAGCTCTTCCCGTGATCGCTGGAGTGTTTTTGATAGGATTGACAGGGGCAAGAAGTCCATCCCTGACTTCGAACTCACCCTCCTGAATACCAATCGGTCACACATCCTAGTAGTAATGGAGCAAAATCACCTCTGTCGAGCTCTAAGATGACAGGGAAGCAGGAGAAGAGGAACTTCAATCTCTGCTGCTCGTACCATTGAGATGTCGGACATGAGACTGAGGATTGTAACGACCTCAAAAAACATTCCTACTCCTAGAACTGAGGATTGTAACCTTTCTGCTCCTAGAGCGCGTAGGTTTCATTCTTTGGTATTTTCGAGTTCCCACAACAACGCCAATTGAAAAGGTGATTTTCAGATGGACGAGCTGTACCAAACTGTTGAAGTGATCTCCTGGAGGAGGTAAGGCTTCAGGGAAGTCACCTACTCCAAGTTATAAGAGGTGGGGCTGAATCCTCCGATTTTTCTTTGACGATCTAGTTAGTTTTGATAAGGATAGGAAGTAATGGAGTTTTTAGAGAGTGATTCTTACAGAACATTTCTCGTCCCCTTTTTGAGTGAGAAATCCCGATATTTATATGGGACAATTTAGAGGGAAGGATAGTGGGATTCAAGTTCCTAGGATCTGACAGACTGAGCATATCAGTCTGATTTGATAGATCAGTGCAAGGGACAGATCTCATCAGATGTCTTGTCTTTCTGATTTATCGGACCATTTTTCTAGTATAATTTGCCGTTGGGGGGAGGGATGATTTGGTAAAAGTGATCCGCTGTATTACAAAGTGGTAAAAGCAAGAAAACGATTTATTTTTTGGAGACGACAATTATTATATAACCTATTTTATCCTATACTAGAGGGGACAAGGAGTCTAAAAGTTTTGTGTTGGGAACTAGCAGGTATGCAGACCTTATTAGATCAAAAGAGTGCTTTGGCACCATCATTGGATTTTTTTCGCTGCAGGTGGAATTTGAACCCTCACCTACAGGCTAAGAATGACCATTGCACTTAGTGATTGATTCGCTATGTTACCAAATAGTAAAAACAAGTTATGTATTGCTCCTAATTTTCTTTTATTTTTTCTGCCTCCAAATCGTTACATTCTTTTAGGTTTTTTTTTCCCTTTTCACAAACTCTTAAAACAACACAATGGACAAAAATTCGACATCACATTAAGAAGACTCTCATTTTAGATTAAAATAAGCTACCTTTTACGCTTCTAATTTTAGAGTAAAATAGGTTACCTCTTACACTTGTGAGTTATGTTGATTTTTAACCAACATTTTTTCATTTGGAGAACTACTTATCCAAATTTTGAAACAAAAAGAAAATCTAGGCAAGTAATTATGCAAAATATACAAAAGGATAAAAATAAAAAAAAAGTACAAATCAATATAAGTTAAAAATGTAAGAGATAGTTTATTAGTCTAATATTAGAGACTCTACATCGATTAGGTTTTTTTTTTAGTTATTTTTGAAATACTAAACTATAGTATTGCATATAAAAAAACTTTTACTATAGTTATTTGTTGCGATGTTTTAAAATTTAAAATTTTATGAGAGTATATTTTAAAGATTAAAAAAACCACCACCTACCACCCCCCATCTTCTCTATCCACTTTCAACGTCATCGTCACGTCACTAACACCCCATACCGGAATCGAACCTTTGACTAAACTACGTGCAAGTTCTAGTCAAATAGCTTGACTAAATTATATTCTTAAACTTGCCTAAATAAAATTTGCTGCATGGCTCAAAATTTTTTACTTAATGGGGTAGTATTTAATTGTTTTGAAAAATATATCTTTTCTATGTTTAAATATAACTATGTTTAATTGTTTATCTTAATCAAGGGTTGCAATAATAACAACAATATCATTGTTCATCATCAACAAATATAGCCTCTTTTTTTTTAATAAAAAAAAAAAAAAGCGGTTTGGGCATTGCCAGGCTTTTGATTGAGCTTTAATATCCGACACTGTGACGACGTCGTAATTGAGAAAGCAAGCGCAATTGCCTGGATTTACCTCAGAAAATAATTTTCAACGAACTTCAGAATTTGCCTGAAAAAATCCCAGTAATTAGTTCATTTGAGACCGGAAGACGATGGGGATGATGATGATGAAGACGACGACGATGAAGAGAAGAGCTTCTTCTGCGGTGATTGTTTCTATTGCTCGGTCTCAGGAAGCAGCGGCTTCATTAGGTACTCCTGCTCCTGCAGGTTGTACTACTCTTGCATCATTCCTCTCTGCATTCCCAAACCATAAACCCCATTTGGCTTTTTATTCTGCTATTAGTATTAAATTTAAGAGTTCTTCTGAAAAAGCTCTGAAATTTCAACCTGAATTAAGGAATGATATTAATAATGTCAACAGTCTTGATGATGCTTTGAGCTTGTTCGAGCGGATGGCTCGGATGAGGCCTCTGCCTTCCGTCATTGATTTCACTCAATTGCTGGACCGTATTGTTAAGATGGAGAAGCATTATTCTTCAGTTGTTTCCCTTTTTAGAGATATGTGTGTCCAGGGCATTCCTGTTGATGAGGCCACCCTTAATATAATGATTAATTGTTGCTGCGTTGTGGGCCGAGTGGATTTAGCTTTTTCTACATTGTCTGGCTTCTTCAAACGTGGTTTTGTCCCTAATGTGGTCACCTTTAGCACTTTACTTAAGGGACTCTTCCGAGACCATAAGGTTCCTGAGGCGCAAGAATTGTTCAAAAAGATAATCAAAGAAAAACTTTGTAAACCCAACGAAACTATGTTGGGCATTGTGATAGATGGGCTCTGTAAGGCAGGAAACACTCAAACAGCCATCGACTTGCTCAGAGCTATGGAAAAACGAGGAAGACCTTGTAAACCTACTGCAATTATTTACAATACCGTCATTGATAGCTTGTGCAAGGATAAAATGGTTGATGAAGGTCTTGCCCTCTTACAGGACATTCCCCCGAATGTTGTCACTTACAGTTGTTTGATTCATGGTCTGTGCAACCTAAGCAGATGGGAGGACGTTGACAAGCTCTTTTATGAGATGAAGGTTTATAAAATTGTTCCAGATGTTATTTCTTTTAACATAGTGGTGGATGCACTATGTAAGGAAGGGCATATAGAAGATGCTGAAGAGGTAGTCCGGATCATGATCCAGCAAGGTCAAAATCCCAACCTGGTCACATACACTTCCTTAATGGATGGGTACTGTTTACAGAGGCGAATAGATGACACAAGGAGAGTTTTCGATACCATGGTTGCTAGCGGCTTTACACCCAATCTCCATAGCTATGGTATTCTAATAAATGCCTATTACAAGACCAAGAAATTGGAAGCAGCCATGAAGCTCTTTCGAGAGATTCCACATAAAGGTTTAACACTTGATATTGTTCTTTATAACACTGTTGCAGGGGTTATTTAGTTCAGGAAGGTATCTTAGTGCACGAGAAATTTTCAAGGAGATGCAAGCTTCTGGCATGAAGCCTGATTTTCACACTTACTGTGTGGTACTGGATGGATTATGCAAGACTGGACATGTCGACGAAGCATTGGAGTTATTCCATGCAACTGAAGCCGATGGAACAGATCTTCACATTGAAATGTACAATATCATGCTTGATGGGTTGTGCAAATGCAGGAGGGTCGATAGTGCCCGAGATCTTTTCAAAAATCTCTCCCTTAAAAGATTGGACCCTGATGTCATAACATACAACACCATGATTGCTGGCCTGCTTTCAGAAGGTCTGCTCATTGAAGGTAAAGAGCTCGTTGAAAAAATGGAAGAGAAGGGTTGCTTGGCAAATAGTGTTACATACAATGTCATTCTGCAAGGACTCCTTAAGGGAGGTCATTATGATGATGCGATCGTCTAGCATGAAGAAATGGTTCATAGAGGATTCTTGCTGGATGCATCTACATTTTCCATTTTACTTGATTTATCTGCTGAGAATCAGAACAATCTTTCTGTGCTAATGTTGATGCTGAAGATTGATCCCAATAGCAAGAGGTTCATGGATGGGGGACAAAGAGGACCTTCACATTAGTTGTAACATGTTGGTCCTGCAGTTTTTTGGCCCCTGATGTTTAATTAGCTGGTAGGAATGGTACTAAGGTTCACAGTTGATCCTTTTATCACTTATCATCTTTGTTTAGAGGAGGTCTCTTGGTGACATTCTGCAAGGACTCTTTAAGGGAGGACATTATGATGATGGGATTGTCTATCATGAAGAAATGGTTCATAGAGGATTCTTGCTGGATGCATCTACATTTTCCATTTTACTTGATTTATCTGCTGAGAATCAGAACAATCCTTCTGTGCTAATGCTGATGCTGAAGATTGATCCTGATAGCAAGAAGTTTATGGATGGGAGATAAAGAGGACCTTCACATTTTTTACAACTTTTGGTCCTGCAGTTTTTGGCACCTAAATTTTATCTGCTGGAACTAAAACTATTTGAGTTCACTTTTGAACTGGGTATTGGAGGAACTCCGTTGGTCATCTTAATCCCTCAAAGATCTTTGGTCCTGGAGGAGGAAGCCACAGTCCATATGGAAGTTTGATTGATAAGTGTAGCAGTTCATAGAAATTCTCTGCTGTTAATTGGATTTCTACCACTTCCTCTGAAAGACTTGTTGTTTATCCTTTTGTGGAGAACCTCAATATGGCATATCACTTAAGAAGTAAATTGTGAAGGCTCTTTTTCGTTATTTTTCATGGTTTTAGTACTTTAGCTTGCATGTAATGTTTGTTTATTGGAATTAGGAAATGAAACTAGATCTGGAAATAAAGTTTGTGATTTTGAATTTATCGAAAAGTTTCAGCATTTATATAAGTTGGAGAATTTTCTTGTAAGTAGGATAAAATTGTTTCTTTCATTTCAAATCCTAGATGGAGCCTAGCAGCCAATTTAGAAGTGTAAAAACGTTTTAGACAATTGTCTTGCTTTGGATTTAAATTTTGAGGTCCCATGGATAGTCATGGTTACATATGAATACATGTTATAATTGTTTATATATGTGCAATCAGTTGTTCAGTCAATCTTTAGCTTGGAAGGAGTTATGGAAGGAGTTAAAAAAGGGTGACGAATATACTTAAGGTTATTATTCTTCTGTATGTACCATATCATATCTGCATTTTATTGCACAATGATTTTTTTCCCGTAGCTTTTCATTGTTAGTAAATTCTGAACACTAGAACTAACCCTACTGGAGTTGTCCAACTACAGAGAACATAGAACAAAGCCTGTCAAGTGTTCTTTTACTGAAGCTAACATTCGCAACCTCTTTGACAGTAATATTAATCGATTACTTGAAATAATATTGGTGTAATGGGCTGTACTAAAAGGCGTGGGTTGCTACATTGTGTTTCAGCTGCTAACAATTTTCCTGCAACGGTCAAACCTTGTTGCTGATCTTTTACATCTAGTTCTTACTTTTTTCGGGGGTTTTTTTAAAAAAAAAAAAAATTTGCAAAGCTGTTTTTGAAGTTATTTATTGTCTCACTTTGCTGCATTTTCCTGATTAAAATGTGGAAGAAGCCCCCTTTTTTTTGCATGTACCAGTTTCAAGACCTGTTCTTTTCTGTCAATGTAATTTATGTTGCATTTTGTTGTCACTTGTCCTCAAACATAAGTGTTGGGTGATTAGACCATATTTGCGAGGAAGGTATCTCTATGAAATGGGCTTATGAGCAAAGTATGTGCAGGAACTAAAGATATGGCTTATAAGTTGCTTTGGCTGCTACTAAGCTGGATAATTTTCGCGTTCTATTCATATTAATCTGCATGAAAATGCTTTTCTAATCTTATGAATTGAGAGATTCAGTCGCTTTTTTCTTTTGTTAGTGCTTGACATGTTAATTTGACTGTCTGTGGAATATGGATGCTCTGTTTTATCATCTGTTTTCTGGTTTATGGGACGCAGATTTCAGAATTTTTCCACTGCAACTGAAAGGCAGGTCTCATCTGTTGTGGAGCAGGGGATGCAATTGTCTTATGCACTATGATACAAACTATCTTCTGAAGACAAGGACATGATATTTCTGAGGGAGGATGGCGATCCTGAGGGTTGTTCACATTGAGTTACAGTCCCTGGAGTCAGGATAAGGTTCCACGGTATGTCAAAGTTAGCTTTATACGGTATTCCACTTATTTGGCTCTGATCCCCTTATTAACTGTCATTTAAATGCTTGTACGTTAGTTGAGTATAAGGTTTTAAAGATAAAAGGGATAGAAGGAATCAATTATTTCATTGACATTGATATTCTTCTCTTGAGGAATTTTGCTTGCCAAGTTTTAGATGTCTTCATTAGGAAACGAATTTCCAGGCTCCAATTGTTACTTCCTGAACTTCATGTTCTATGGCCAATTTGGCTAAGCAATACCTTTGATCTCGAACTGTTGATCAGTAATTTGTATCGAAACGTCAAATTAATTCATATGAGAACAGCAAATCTGTACGAAATTGTATAATATTCCTCTTGTTTGGAAATGATTGAAGGACTATAGATATGCTTTGGAATTTGATACTGATAGCATAAATTTGTCCACACATTCTAAAGTGAAGGGAAAACAAATAGAAGTTTGTAAGCATATTTACAAGAATAAAGATGTACTAGAGGATTCAAAGTTAGGTCGATTGATATCAGGAAAATGGTCATGTATATTAGATCTAAGTTTTCATTTTCTAGTACTTACAAATGTTAACCTAAAGTAAAAAACATATTTCAAAAAAGAAAATAACTGAAGTAAAATTATTTTATGTTCTTATTCCTTAATTTTGAAACAAATACATATCCATGCTTAAGCATGGGGTTACAAACTAGTACTACTGCTTTATGCCTATTGTATTTGTCCGTTAGATATGGAAAACCAGAACAGAATTCTAGAGGAGGGCAGTGACAATAAGCTTGAAGTCCTCAAAACTTATAGCTCCATCTCCATCTCCATCAACAGAAGCAATAATACTCTGGCAATCTTCAAGAGACAAATCTTGTCCCATATTTTCCACAACTTCAAACAGCTCTTCCCCGGTCACAAACTCTTCCCCCTGAAAATCCAAGGCCGCAAAAACCCTCCTGAGAATAGTTGAGAGGCCACCAAGTCCAAGGTCCTTGGTGTTCAAATCAAGAAACTCTGTAATGCTTAGCAGTCCATCTTTGTTAGTGTCACCTTTTTGCATCATAGCCTGAATATCTGCCTCAGCTGGATTGTATCCTAGTGATCCCATGATCCCACCAAGCTCTGCTGAAGAAATTTGGCCATCACTGTCAGCGTCGAAAGCCCGAAAAGCCTCCACCAGCCTCAGAACATGACTAAGCATATCAAGTTCAGCAGATAGAGGCCCCTCTTGAGCCATTGGTGATTTTTTTTGAATCTATCTATGTATTGCTTCAGATTTTTGTATACAAATAGAGACAAGAAAAAAGAAATAGGATGGTCTCGATGAAACAAGTATGCACAGCTTGATTTATAAGTTCATTGCCACATTTTGTAGAGGGAAAATGTTAGTGCTGGTCAATTTCCAAAGTTATTCTTCATAATCTACTGAATTGAGTTATGGCCAAGAGGGTAGATTCTTATTCTTTTTAGATAGGTTTTGTTAGCCAAAAGTTGGAATTTCTGATTGTAATTTGTATTCTAGAATATCTCCAGATTCCAAGCAAATCAAGATAGGGTGTGCTTGAGTTAGTAAACAAAAATCATGGCGTCCACAGTTTCCAATAATCGTGGGACCAATATTCAAGTTTTACGAGATATATTCCTTCTCCTCCTTCCCTCTCCCTTCCCTCTCTCAATTTGGTCTCTAGCAATGGAAGAAGAGAAGGGGAAAAAGAAAATGTCGGACCAAGTTGCAAGAACAATCCACCTTATTATGCATCTCTTCTAAGAGGTTGCTGCAAACTCATATTGATGGAGATTGACTCTAACAAAGTGCATAAGCTTGGTCCCCCTTAATAAAGTGATTAAGGGTGAAGGTTGAGAACTTAGAGATGTTGGGTTCAAATCTTCCATTTGCCTTTTCCTATTCTTAAATCTCACTGTTTCTCTTTTGATTTAGTTAAGCCAATAGAAATGGATTTGGTTCATCGAAATGAATGAGAATTATGAGTGTGATTTTTTGAAGTGTCGAATTGTCACTCATATATGTATGCAATATAAATGCATGGTGTGCAAACAGTTACTGAGGAAATGCATTACATCAAACTACAATTGGCTATGTGGAAAGACATTGGACATTAATTCTTGATCATATCCCTATATGTAAGCAGTGATGGAGTTAGGATGTATCATCAGTTGGGGCAATATTGTAAATCTGACATGATGCTACTATGCGAAGGGGGAAAAAATCTGATTTGAGGTTATGCTATATTAAAGGAAAATATATTTTCTAAATTTTGGAGCAATTATAAGAAAATTACAAAAATTTGTAAAGATTTCTAGCCTACTCTTTAAATATTTGCAGGGTTATTCATGACATATGTGTAAGAGTTGAATTTTAAATTTAAATTTTGTATATTTATTATTCATCTAATACTGACAGCGTATAGACTGTTAGTGTAGGAAAGATTAATTTGTATTTTTTATATACCATAGTTACCTACAAATCTACACCCATATATGTACATTTATATCTATATCTAAATATAAATTTGGAATACCACTTTGTGGTGCTGGTGTTAAGACACAATAGTCACTCCTTGAACTTTCCACTGTACCAATAATTTTTAAGGGTGAAGAGGTTCTAACCTCTTTGATTCAGACAAAAAAAAAAGAAAAAAGTTAAAAACATGCTAAATCTGAATTTGAATACCATTATTTTCACAATTGCACATTAACCCTACTACTAATTAATTGACAACTGTATGTTATCTAAAATTCTCCAATCATTCATTCTTGATCCTCTACCATTTTTAGACATTTCATTATGCATTCATTCTTGATCCTCTACCACTAAAAAAGTTACTTTATTCATTTTCTATATACTTATTTTGAAAATATAAAATTAATTTTCACAAAAATATTCTTGATCCTCTACCATTTTTTTTTTTGGAAGGGGGCGGGGGGTGTTTTAAATTTAATCAGCTAGAATTTCACTTCATCTTTCTTTCGCATGCAGGTTATGAATTACCACGTACTATTACTGCTACTAATGAGGGGTACGATGATGTAAGTGGAAAATTAAGAAGAGGGCTTGCTATTAGTAATTGTTTTAATTACCTGCCACTTTGCTAATCTGAATAATAATTTAATGATTGATTAAAGATTACTACTTACGCAGGAAAGCATATATCGAAGGTAGTATAGTAATTAATTACATGATCGAAGATTTGAGCAGTAGTAGTGATTGATTAATTAAATAACGTACTTTCTGTCTTGAACAAGATCTGCTCCACGATTGCATGCAAATAGATGGTGATGTTTGGTGGATGAGCAAATCTGCAGCGGTGTGTCTGTAGCCACTTCCATCAAAGATGGTGCCCCCCACTTTAGTCCCCTTCACATGATCGTACGTAAATCCGTTGTACGGGAGTTGCCCGGCTTCCAGCAAACCATTCCTCACCGCCGATTGCCACGCACGCACTTCCGGCTCGAATACCACCTTGTTTTCCACCCACTCGTACGACTCGTTCACTGCCCTCTGATCCCACCCCACCCTGCTGACATAGTCGGTGCGCAGGACATGGAAAGGATGAACTCTAACCCTCAAATGGACTTTTCCAGCATACTTAGTCACGTACTTGTTGCAAGCAATACGAACAGCCTCAAGTGCTTCACTGGAGACATTCTCATTTTCCTAGAATGAGAACTCATCAACTCCCTTCTTTTTCATGCCAACATCATACATCTTGATCTTTGGATCTAGAACACCACGGTAGTACCTTGACTTTGGGTAGGATTTGTTTTTTATTTTCAACATATTATGAACCAGCATTAAAAAGGAAGCCACTTTCACTTTAAGCATCAATATTTAAGGCGGAAAAGAGTGATTTTTTGCAAAAACTAAGGTGGAAAAGAGTGAATTGAACAGGTTCATGAGCAGTGCAGAAACTAAGTTATTTGTTATATGCTCAAGTTGCAACGTTCAGATCCATTAAATGAAACAAGTTAAGAACTAAAACAGTCATTTATGAAACCTTAGCAGTAATAAGGTGCAAACCAAAACTGTAATCCAAGAGTAATATCATTACAGGTTTCATAACCATACATTAAATAAACCGAACTGCAATCCAAGACCATCTAAAACACCATCTGCCTTAAAGCAATTTAGGCAGAGGGTGAGGATTGGAAAACCATTGTTTAGTCATAGTTTCATATAACACCATATACAAAAGCATGAGTAGGCAGCATATTAATGAACTATACTTCACAAAGCACCACTAAGCACAAAAGAAGAGAAATGTGAGCATAACAGTAGTAATTAGAAATGCAAGCTAAAACTACTGCTGGTGCTAATATTGGCAGAGTTAAGAGGTGCAGCTGCATTCATGCTAACAGATGTAGAGCATCACCAGGGGCTTGAACAAGAGCTGTTGACAGATGATTAGTTGGTTGAGCAAGTTCTGGTGCAACTCTTCTGCGAGAACCTATTGCAGCATTCGTCAAAGTAGCATTTGAAGGCCTTCCTCCCTGTAGTTGTTCAAAATAGAAGAGCTTGTGCCTTACTGAATACCTGAGTAGCACTAGATTGGATTTCATAATAAAAGAGCCAGTACCTTTCTTTTAGAGGCAATTGTACTTGTCTGTACAATAACCTGAACATTTATGGCAGTATTTCCAGTAGAAGGACTGGAATTCCTACCTTTACTTGAATGCACAATAGGCACCTTCCCATGTGCATGATCCTGTCATAATATGACTAGGTAACACTAAGGACTAATTGTGTAATTGAAACATGATTTATACCCAGAGAATAGATCCTTGCAGTCCTAAATTTGCAAATCCTCTACATGGTTTCCCTCTTCTAGTTGGCATCTGTCATGAAGTAAACAACATAAGGAGTTGATGAGTCAAGAAAGAACATTTAATTTGTACAAATATGTGTATGATGATACCTGTTGAGCATGAGTATTAGCTGGATTCTTTCTTTGCACAGGTGCTCTTTGACATGTTCTCATGTTGTGACCAAACTAACCACAATTTCCACACTTTAAGGTACTAGACTTTTTTGGCTGAGATGAAGGTCCTTCATCAGGTTCTCCTCTTCTGTTTACTTTTGATCTACCAGGAGCTCTTCTCAAAGGAGGGGGCAATACAATCCTAGGGGTAACTTCATGCATAGGAGGCCACCTCTTTTCATGAGGTATAGGGTGAATCATAGAAGCATATGCGTTCAAGTAAATGTCTTTGGAGAACCAATGATCATAGTAATCTTCCAACTTTTCCCTTTTGTAGATAATGCCAAGTGCAGCATGTTTGCAAGGAAATCCAACTAATTGGAAGGCACAATCACAGGTCCTTTGATTTAAATTGACTATGAATGATCTGTCCATATCACCAACCTCAAATTTATCATCACTTGCCATATTCAAGGTACAATGCCTTGATGCTTGAGCAATTGTTTTGAGCTTTTCAGCAAATTTTGGGGTGATTCTGTTAGTTAATGTGCATCCCTTTTAGTATCTCTTATGCATTTTCTTCATGAACTTCCTTCTCAAACCTTCAACAAGGGTTAAGTATGGGTTTGCCCCTGAGATCACCAACAATGAATAAAACGATTCAGTGAAATTATTTGTGACATGGTCACATTTAATTTCTTTTGAGAATGCATATCTATGCCAGGCTTTCTTGGGAATTTTGTCCAAATATTTCCAAGCCTGTATATTGATATCTTTAATGGTTGACATTGTTTCATTCTGACCTATGTGATCAAAACTCTTTGCTGCCTTCCAAAAGAAACTATTAAGCAGCATGCCTGAAAATTGCTGCTTGAAGTTGCGGCAAATGTGCCTGCAACAATATTTGTCACTAGCATTTGGAAATATCTCCTCATAAGCAAGGTTGAGCCCCTAAAACAGCAAATAGATGAGTCAAAAAAGCTATTTCAAATCCTTTAACAAGTCCAAGCAAAGAGTTGATTATTCTGAGCAGTACCTTTTGCCTATCACTCATAAAGTTTAAAGGTAAGTGGCTGTTGAATGGTACAAAAAACTCTTCAGAAAGGTAAAAGAACCAACTCCATGTTTTCTTGTTTTCACATTCAGCTACAATAAATGCAATTGGGAATATACTATCATTCCCATCCAAGACCACTGCTGTGAGTAAAATACCACCAAAGAGACCCTTCAAGTGACAGCCATCAAAGCCACTGAATGGCTTGTAACCATCAAGAAAACCAGTTTTCCATGCTCTAAAACTAACAAATATTCTTTAAAATCTGGGCTCTACAAGGAGATTTGGCCTATCATAATGTATTTTGCAAATGTTTTGTGGATTATATTGTCTTGTACAACATACTTTGGTAATTTGCCATAAGAATCAGTGAAATTTCCTTGAATCTCCTTTTCTGCTTTCTTTTTTGCTCTAAAAAGCTGCATGTAACTTGGTTTAAGACCACACTTTGTTATCATCTTTGCTTCTATGCCCTGGCTAGATATGTTAGGATGAGCTCTCATCAAAGGCACCAACTTCTTTGCAATCCAATCTGATGTTGGTTCTACATTACTTTTATCCATCACCCAAGTATGTTCAGGTTGGTAAGATTTAAACATAAAGGTGACGGAATCAGCCATCGGACTCGCATGAATTCTCCATTTGCAGCCATCTATACCACTAATAGCTGTCACTCTAGTTTTCTCATTCTTCAATCTTACTATTGAAAATCCCTTTTGGATGACATAATCCTTCAAAGTTGCTCTAAAGGAGTCCACATTGGTGACTAATTGGCACTTCTCAAACCCAATGTCCTCTCTTGGGTTGTATACCTACATTTTTTATCTCATCACTTCTCTCATAGGATCAAGTTCCTGATCAGATTCGGAATCAGGAACCATATCACAATCCTCATTTTCTTCTAAATTAGAAAAATTAGTGTCACTCAAGTCACTACTCTCCACTGAAACTTTGTCATCATCTATATCACCTTCATTATCACTATCAAGCATATGTTTCCATGACTCGTCAGAGTTAGAGTCCTCAAATTCATCATCAGAATTTCCAAGATCAACAACTACCCTTTCATAAGTTTGTTCAATGCCTAAATTCTCTTGGGTGTTTTGATCATTGTTATGGTTTAAAGGTCCATCAGGCTTAGTTGGAATAATTTCCATATCATACACTTGTAAATTGATTACAATTCCAGATTGATGCATTTTAAACATCTCAGCTATTGCATTGTCATCATTAGCATCACGCATTTCACATGTTCCAGGAATATCATGCCTCATATGTATCATCATATTCACATTTCCAGGCATTTCATTCAATGCTTTTTCAACAACATCATATTGCAAGTTAATGTACAAGTGGCCATTAGAATCAACATTCGGAATCTTCACTTTCATTCCCTTGCAATGCACAACTTTGTCATAAGCACCATTATTCACCATCCTACATTATTAACATTAATAGTTCAACACTAATAACCATTAACATGATTCTATGATGATGAAACACTTTTACTCAATAAATGAAGAACAGGGCACAACTCAAAGATCTAAAACTATATTTGGCAGAATAGAGAATTTATCTAACTTATTGTAGATTATCAAGCATTCAACAACTATGGTCAACATAATATATGATGAACTTATCTAACTACATGTACCAGTGATCACAACTTATCTATTCAACTTATCAAGCAGTGAACAACTATGATCAACATAAAAGATGATGATTTTTGTCATGCTTTTGACTTTAACATCTAACTAAGTTCATGGTTTTGACATACTCCCTATTTTCTCCTTCAAATTTGCATGATGAACTCTGAAAATTTACATGTTCTGGAAGTGATAGGTCATATTCGATCATATTACATTAATAGATAACAGAGCTTGCATACCTTTTTTGTTGTTATTTTTGTGATTTACAATATTTAAAATCTCAGAATTTGCCTTCCATACTCTCTCCTTTCTGCTTCAAAATTATGAAATTAGAGTACTATCATCATTGCCTCACCAGTTGAATGAAAATTGCACATTAACTTGTCTGTACATTAACCTGAACATTTATGGCAGCATTTCCAGTAGAAGGACTTGAATTGCTACCTTTACTTGAATGCACAACAGGCACCTTCCCATGTGCATGATCCTGTCATAATAAATTTACATGTTAAAGTAATATGGTCAACATAACAGATGATTAACACCACTGGAGATATATCATCACTACCTTACCAGTTGAACGAAAATTGCCAGTTTGTTCAGCTTCTATCTTCACTAAGTTTCTTCTTATTTTTCTTTCTTCTACTTGATGCCTTCTTCACAATATATAAAACACTGATTTGTTGTCTTGTCCCTGACATCAATCAGCAAAATGGCACCATATTGGTGAACGAACTTGGCGCCAGTTGGTTAAATGCATTTTTGATTAGCAAGATTCCAACTGTTAAGTTGGTTAATGAAATTGAAAGATTTAATTTGACCCTAATGAATAATTTATCAGATTTTAGCCATATAATAACACATAATGTCTTGGGTATAATAGTAATTTCATATTATATGATGTCAGCAATTGGGTCCCAAGTTCTGCCAGGGAAAGTCAGTGTAATTGTGAAACCTCAGTGGAGATCAATGAAATTGTCAGAAACCTCCTTATCCCCTTTTTTAATTAGGGGACATACACTTAATTACAAATAGATATTAAAAAAATAGATAATAGCAAATTATGCATCCTAAGAATTATAGGTGGATTTATTTCCATCTACTCCCATTGGAATAGTCGGACCATTTTTCTAGTATAACATTGCCATTGAGGGGAGGGATGATTTGGTAAAAACGATCAGCTGTGTTACAAGTGGTAAAAACAAGCAAACAATCCGCTGTGTTACCAAGTGGTAAAAACAAGCAAACGATCCTCAGGTTACGTGTTGCTCCTAGTTTCCTTTTATTTTTCTCCCTTTGCATTCTTTTATTTTTTTTTCCCCTTTGACAAACTCTTAAAACAACAATGGACAAAAATTTGACATCACATTAAGAAGACTCTAATTTTAGACTAAAATAGGCTCCCTTTTATGCTTCTAATTTTAGAGTAAAATAGGTTACCTTTTACACTTATGACTTATGTTGATTTTTAACCAAGTTTTTTTATTTTTAATCTCTTTGTATATTTTGGAGAACTACTTATCCAAATATTGAAACAAAAAGAAAATCGGGTCAAGTAATTATGCAAAATATACAAAAGGATAAAAAATAAAAAATGTAAGTAAAAATCAATATAAGTTAAAAATGTAAGAGATAGTTTGTTAGTCTAAAATTAGAGGCTCTACATCGATTAGGGTTTTTTTGAGTTATTTTTGAAATACTAAAATATAGGATTGTATATTAAAAACTTTTACTATAGTTATTTGTTGCGGTGTTTTAAAATTTAAAATTTTATGAGGGTATATTTTAAAGATAAAAAAAACCACTACCCACCGCCCCCCATCTCATTTCTCCATCTCCAGCGTCATTGTCAGTATCACCAACGCCCTACTCCCACTCCTCTCCCCTTCTTCTCCGTTTTCTTACATACTTCCTCTTTCTCCCTCCTCCTCTCCTCTCCCTTCCCTAGCCTCCCATCACTTCTCCCCTTCCCTTCCCCTCCCTCGATGTGTGTTTTTTAAGTTGCTTTTAGAATTTGTTATTGAAAACTCCACAAACAAAAACTATTTGTGAAAAAATAGGCTAATCCAAACATAGCCTGAGTCCTTTTAAGTGATCTTGTATTTTAGCCAATTTTGTTGTTTAAAGAGTTTGTAAAGAGGGGAAAAAAGCAAGAATCTAAAGATTTGGAGGAGAAAAAAGGCATATGAATCAGGATTTAGAGGGAAAAACAAAGAAAACAAGGAGAGAGAAAGTTAGAAGTAGGAGGAATTATTTAGATACAAATTAAAGCAAAATTTTAATAACATGGTAAGATAAGATTAGTGAGTGTATTTAAGGGGTTGTTAGGATCATCATGATATATTTTTTAGTCTTTTGGAAAATTTCATAACTCTCTTACCTACAAATGTAATTTTGTAAAAAATTTTCAAAATTATATTTAAATAATTATTTTATAAAGGTCGATGACTACTTTTAAATTTTGAATTTTCCTATTCACACTCGACTCAATACCAAGTAGCTCGAACTTGATTCACTCTAATGTCAAAACTTTGACTAAACTGTGTGCAAGTTCAAGTTAAATAGCTTGACTAAATTATACTCCTAAACTTGTCTAAATAAAATTTGCTACATGGCTTAAAACTTTTACTTAATGGGATAGTATTTAATTGTTCTGAAAAAATATCTTTTGTATGTTCAAATATAACTACTATCAAGTTTATTCTTAATCAAGTGTTGCAATAATAACAACAATATCATCGTTCATAATCAATAATATCATCCCGCCCGCCTTTTACAAAATAGCCTTTTTTTTCTTTTTATAAAAAAAAAGGGGTTTGGGCATTGCCAGGCTTTTGATTGAGCTTCGACACTGTGACGACGTCGTAATTGAAAAAGCAGGCGCAATTGCCTGAATTTACCTCAGAAAATAATTTTCAACAACCGATCTTCAGAATTTTCCTGAAAAAATCCCGGTAATTGGTTCATTTGAGACCGGAAGACGATGGTTATGATGATGATGAAGACGACGATGAAGAGAAGAGCTTCTTCTGCGTTGATTGTTTCCATTGCTCGGCCTCAGGAAGCAGCGGCTTCATTAGGTACTCCTGCAGGTTGTACTACTCTTGCATCATTCCTCTCTGCATTCCCAAACCATAAACCCCATTTGGCTTTTTATTCTGTTATTAGTAGTAAATTTAAGAGTTCTTCTGAAAAAGCTCTGAAATTTCAACCTGAATTAAGGAATGATATTAATAATGTCAACAGTCTTGATGATGCTTTGAGCTTGTTCGAGCGGATGGTCCGGATGAGGCCTTTGCCTTCTGTTATTCAATTCAATCAACTGCTGACTTGTATTGTTAAGATGAAGAATCAATATTCTTCAGTTATTTCCCTTTTTAGAGATATGTGTGTCAAGGGCATTCCTGTCGGTGAGTACACCCTCACTATTGTGATTAACTGTTACTGCGTTGTGGGCCGAGTGGATTTAGCTTTTTCTACATTGGCTGGCTTCTTCAAACGTGGTTTTGTTCCCAATGTAGTCACCTTCGGCACTTTGCTTAAGGGACTTTTTCGAGAACAAAAGGTTCCTGAGGCGCAAGAATTGTTCACAAAGATAATCAAGGAAAAACTTTGTAAACCCAATGAAACTATGTTGGGCATTGTTATAGATGGGCTCTGCAAGGCAGGAAACACTCAAACAGCCATTGAATTCCTCAGAGCAATGGAAAAACGAGGAAGCCCTTGTAAACCTACTGCAATTATTTACAATACCATCATTGATAGCTTGGGCAAGGATAAAATGGTTGATGAAGCTCTTGCCCTCTTACAGGAGATGATTGAAAAGGACATTCCCCCGAATGTTGTCACTTACAGTTGTTTGATTCAGGTTCTGTGCAGCTTAAGCAGATGGAAGGATGTTGACAAGCTCTTTGCTGAGATGAAGGTTTATAAAATTGTTCCAGATGTTATTACTTTTAGTATAGTGGTGGATGCACTATGTAAGGAAGGGCATATAGAAGATGCTGAAGAGGTAGTCCAGATCATGATCCAGCAAGGTCAAAATCCTGACCTGGTCACATACAGTTCCTTAATGGATGGGTACTGTTTACAGAGTCGAATAGATGACGCAAGTAGAGTTTTCAATACCATGATTGCTAGCGGTCTTACACCCGATCTCCATTGCTATGGTATTCTAATAAATGCCTATTACAAGACCAAGAAAGTGAAAGCAGCCATGAAGCTCTTTCGAGAGATTCCACATAAAGGTTTAACACCTAATATTGTTATTTATAACACTGTGTTGCACGGGTTATTTAGTTCAGGAAGGTATCTTAGTGCACGAGATATTTTCAATGAGATGCAAGCTTATGGCATGAAGCCTGATTTTCCCACTTACTGTGTGGTACTGGATGGATTATGCAAGACTGGACATATCGATGAAGCATTGCAGTTATTCCATGAAATGGAAACTGATGGAACAAATCTTCGCATAAAAATGTACAATATCATCATTGATGGGTTGTGCAAAAGCAGGAGGCTTGATAGTGCTCGAGATCTTTTCAACAATCTCTCCCTTAAAGGATTGGACCCTGACGTCATAACATACAACACCATGATTTCTGGCCTGCTTTCAGAAGGTCTGCTCAGCGAAGCTAAAGAACTCATTGGAAAAATGGAAGAGAAGGGTTGCTTGGCAAACAGTGTTACATACAATGTCATTCTGCAAGGACTCCTTAAGGGCGGTCATTATGATGATGCAGTGGTCTATTATGAAGAAATGGTTCACAAAGGATTCTTGCTGGATGCATCTACGTTTTCCATTTTACTTGATTCATCCGCTGGAAATCAGAGCAATCCTTCTCTACTAATGTTAATGCTGAAGACTGATCCTGACAGCAAGAAGTTCAAGGATGGGGGACAAAGTGGACCTTCACATTAGTTGTAACATGTTGGCCCTGGTGTCTTTTGACCCCTAAACTTTAATTTGTTGAAACTAACATTTGGATCCTGTTGTCACTTATCATCTTTGATGCAATTGAACCCTAGAGGAGATCTGTTGGTCATATTTGTGAAACACCTTAAAGATCTCCAGTTTGGTGGTGCAGCCGCTTTGCTTGGGGTAGTTCAATTGATAAGTGTAGCAGATCAAAGAAATCTGCTGCCATTAATTGGATTTGTACCACTTCTTATGAGCGACCTCTTGTCAATCTTTCCATGGGGAACCTCAGTGTGGCATATCACTTAAGTGGTAACTTGTACAGGTTATTTTTTCTTCGTTTTTCATGGGTGTTGGTACTTTAGCTTGCCTGTAAATTTTGCTTTGGATAACTAATATTTTAATTTATTGTAAATAAGAAATGAATGTCATATGCAAATATAGTTTGTGACTTTGAATTTCTGGAAAAGTTTTAAGCTGCATTTCTGCAATTTCAAGAAAACTTTTTCTAAGATAAAATTGTTACTTTTATTTTGATTCCTCAGTGGTGCCAAAGTTGCAGCCACTTTATAAGTGTAAAAACTTTCTAGACCAGTTTCTTGCTTTGGATTCATAGTTTGAGGTCCCTAGGATTGTCATGGTTATTGATTTTTTTTTTCACTGCATTTGACTGAACCCAAACTCTTTAAGCATGATCCAGAAAAAGTATTCTGATCACTTCCCCTTTAATTGTCAATGCTATACTAAATTGTATAGACATTCAGTAGAAGTGTGGCAAAAATATCGTTCTCTTGCTATAACTTGGAATAGTTCATCCAAGAAACTCTCCCTTTTTTGACAACATACTTGATTATGGGATTCTTTAATATTAATATTTGGTTGTTCCTAAGTTAAAATAATAATTAAAGAATGGGTTTTTATTGCACAACTGCTATTAGGTCACCATCTGCAATAGTGAAAAAAAAAAAAGAAGCTTACTGGCACATCACAATGGTAATAATATACTTTTCTAGTCTACCAAGTTTCGTATCTATCATTTTTTTTTAAATTCTTGTTCTTTTTGGCAGAGCAGGAGAGCAGTGGAATTTGTATAGCAGAGTGTGAAGATTTGACTTCAGCTTAGACTGGATAGAGACAATTAATTAGGTATTAAAATGTATGGAAATAGTTATGATGAATTTTATATGAAAGGATTCGGTGAAAGTGATTAAGACTAATTTTTTAAATTACTCTGGCAAACAAATTTTATTGCTTTATAATTATGTTTTAGCTAAGTATCTTATGCTGAAGAATGATGGATTATATCTATTGGCTGTGGAGGAGGTAAACTGTCTAGTGACCTATAAACAATGTTGAGAAGTGATACTTTTTTGATCTGCCATATAGCTCTTCTGTGTAGATTTTGTTTGTATGATTTTGATACTGCATGCACTATTTAGCGATGGGGTCATGTGTTGCAAAGAGAATGATGGTCACATGTTTTTGGATGCTGTTCAGAAAATTAAATCTTCTTGCTCATGTTGAAAATCTATTTTTGTGTCCTAAGGTGGATATCAACGAGGCCTCGTAGAAATGTTTCCAGAATGAAGTTAAGATATACGTTCTGAGTTAGTATTATTCCAAATTTAGCTGAAGTTTGGCTTAGACAGTGTTATTCTTCCACACTGTCTTCATGTGCATGGCTAAGATGCCATTGACTTTGTGCTAGTTTAAAAATCAATTTAGTACATTCGATTTAAAAAAAAAACTAGCTGAATACTCCCACTTCTCAGTCTGAATGTCGAACTTCAGCAAAACTAGGACTATGGCTTACATTTTTTTGGATCTACTCTATCATGCAGTCTCGTTAAGGCAGAATACTCCCACTTCTCAATATGAATGTCGAACTCCAGCAAAACTAGGACTATGCCTTACAGTTTTTTGGATCTAATCTATCATGCAGACTCGTTATGAATGTAAGATATGGTTAGAGGTTAAAATCAAGTTTATTCAATTTTACAGAGAATGTGATTTCAATTGAAGTTATTAATATTTTATCACTATATTTCATGATTGAGATATAGTACTTATCGAGGAAAAGCTATACGGGTGCCCTATTTTGACTCAAAGTCCATTAATTGCTATCTTGCCATTCTCAGATGGATGAGTCTAAACCGCAAAAATTACTTCAAACCACATCCTATATAGCATCAGTTCAAATAGAGTTGAAAGAAAATTATGGGCAAGTCTTGATTTTAATTTGTTTTATTTTATTTCTTGGTGAAACATTTAACGACAAGTCTTGCATTGAAGTTTTATGAATATGCAAGCGAACATGCAAGAGAACAGTCTAAAAATTACTTGCTGTGCTTTGTCCTTTTCTAAATCTCTGCTGTCTTACGATGGATCAAAATCATGTTTATCGAAAAAATTTTGCAGTCCTACTGACAACTTAGTTATCTTTTCTAATAGCTTTAGGGGAGGATTCCCAATTTTGTGCAACAATATCCAAATTGTAAGATGGAAAACCTAATCTTGTTTCTGAATGTGGGAAAATAGTTTGTGATAAAAGTAGAAATGGGATTTTTCTAGTAGCATCTATTCTATGTAGCTGGTTTAGTTTCCAAAGAATTTCATCACAATTTTCTTTCCTACAGTATGCAGTAAATTTGAATTATTTACTGAAAAGATACTCAGCATGGAATGAAGGTGCTGAATTTGTATCTTGAATACTAGTAACCATTGTTTGTTAGTAATAAAATTTGTTTGATAAGGTCTTATTGGTCACTGAGGTGGAAATGAGATTTTTTTTTTTTTTTTGCTAGTCATTATTGGGCATGATCTGCAGTGATATGAATGACCTTTCAGTAATTGTAAATAATCTATTTGTGTCTGTGATCTATCTATTTGGCTTATTTGTCAAAGTTTTACACCATAGTTCTTGTGTCAAACTGCTATCAGTACACTTGTGTGATTGCAAACTAATCTTTGTCTTTGGCAGACTTCGTTTCTTCCTTAATCTGTGAGTAGGTCTAGTTTCTTGAGTTGGTTGTCTCTAGTTTCAATTCTCATTAGAAAGTTTCTTGTAGCGTTTGATTCAGTTGTCTTGCACCCCCTACTCTTGCAACTTACTGCTTATATCTACCACGGCTGCTGCAATTTTGTTCAAGAGGAGAGTATACAAGAGAGAACCTCCATGGCTTGCTCTGAGTTGCATTTCAAGGAAACCCCAATCTAGATGGTCAATCTTATAACATCCAATCCAAAGCCAACATTAATTTGAAAGAGCTTTGTCCTGCCATCGACTGAATTGAGATCGTGGATGTTGAACCAAGTTCATCTGAATCAGAGCCGGAATGATATGCAATGCCTTTCCTAAGACCTTGAGCCATCCTATGATTTATCCTCAATAGTGCCACCAATGTCACTGCAAACTCCTCCCCAGTTGCCAAATTTTCTGCTTGATTGGGCTTTCTCAAAATGGCAACTTGATTTTATATTTTTGCTGTATGCTGACTTATGTTTATTTTGATGTAGTAGCCTGAACTGTTGTTTTTTCTCTTGTTGTATGCCGCTGTATTTTAACTTCCTTCCTCCGGTGGCCCTGGTATGTCACCTTATTTTTCCTTCATCCAGTGGCCTTATTTTACAGGTTTGACCTTGCCAATTAGATTTAATTACTTAAAGTGGAAGTCCAGAGTATTATGCCTTTGAAATTACTTGGCATAGGGTTTTCTACTATGGTATCTAGTCCCAATGTTAACTTTCTTCCTTTCAGCTTTTAGTTCTCCAAAAGGATATGTGGCTGTATTGTAGCTTGTATCAAGTACCATTTAGTAGTTTATCTCTTTGGCAAATTTGAGTTCATGGATCATTTTGACCGTGATCTTCTACTTTTGAGCAATAAACATCTTCTGCAAATAAATTAGCACCTCTGGCCACCTAACCAAAAAAACTTGTGGCTCTGCCTGTTTGGTATACTCCCTCCGTCCCATTTATTTGGTTATGTTTGGGGAATCCAACTTTTTAAGAATAGTGGTTTGATTGTGATGTTTGTGTTTCTCTTTTCAATTTTGCCCTTACAAATTCAAATATTAAATTTGAATGTATGACTAAAAAAAAGGGTTATATTGGAAAGAGAGTGTAAACGTTGCTTTGACTTTTGTAATATGACAATTGTTTTGGGACATCCCAAAATGAAAAGTATAACACTTTCAATTTTGAAAAGTATAACACTTTCAATGGGACGGAGGGAGTGTATGATTTGTGTCCTTTATATATGCTATGCCAGCTTAGCTCCAAGAAATCCCATAGAGAATGCTTTTCCACGGAAACTCATTAAACTTCACACTAGCATATAGCAACTCTTCTGATCATGTCTCTAGCTCTAAGGTTGTTTTATCTCTCATTTAGCTGTTCAGAAGATTTGTCAGGCATAATTGTCAATTTGTGATCTATTAGATGGATGACTAGCTAAGACTTCCTGTGCATTATAAAATGTACTAGAAAGAGATCAGAATCGTAAAATTAAAAAACAAATTGATGAAAGTATTGGGAGAAAAAATTTTGTTGAGGGACTCCCCGTGTATCTATTCCTAATAAGATGGTCTCAGTTGATGCTGAGTAACTTCTTGCAGTTTTGGGGAAATAAATATGTTTAAATCGGTCAATAAGTTACTCATGGTTGGAGTCTACTAGTAATTTTCAAGTTAAATAGCTGAAAGAGATCAGAATCGGTCAATAAGTTGCTCTTCATATTGTCAAGGTAGAAACAGTGTCCAGGTAGAAACAATTAACCCCTGCAGCCTAAGGGTGGCCACTGAGCTCAGTGGTTGATTCGCTGTGTTATCAAGTAGTAAAAACAAGTTACGTGTTGCTCCTAGTTTCTTTTTATTTTTCTCCCTCCAAATCTTTACATTCTTTTTTTTCCCCCTTTTCACAAACTCTTAAAACAACACAACGGGCAAAAATTCGACGTCACATCAAGAAGACTCTAATTTTAGACTAAAATAAGCTACGTCACTCTAATTTTACTAAAAAGGGTAAGTACAAATCAATATAAGTTAAAAAATGTAAGAGGTAGTTTATTAGTCTAATATTAGAGGCTCTAGATTGATTAGGTTTTTTTTTTGAGTTATTTATGAAATACTAAACTATAGTATTGCATATAAAAAAAAACTTTTATTATAGTTATTTGTTGCGGTGTTTTAAAATTTAAAATTTTATGAAGGTACTCCCTTCGTCCCACTTTGATAGTCTTGTTTTCCTTTTTCGTCTATCCCAAATTGTAATCCACTTTCCCATTAAAAAATGTAGTAATCTTTTAAATTGTCTAAAATACCCTTATTAAATATCTTGTTATTAATACATTGTTATTAAATACTAACCCACTACATTGAATACATTGAGTTTCTCCGATGCTAACCCATTAGCTGTAACTGATATTAATTGGCACTCTTCGTGATTAGCATAAGGGTATTTTAGGAAATTATTAATCTAAATTTACGTTTCCAACCAAATTAATTACACTTTCTTAATCTGTGTGAAAAAAAAAAATCAAGACTAACAAAACGGGACGGAGGGAGTATATTTTAAAGATTAAAAAAACCACCACCCACCACCCTTCATCTCTTCTATCCACCTTCGACATCATTGTCACGTCACCAACACCCCACCTGCGCTTGAACTTGATGAACACCGAAGTCAAACTTTTGACTAAACTACGTGCAAGTTTTAGTCAAATAGTTTGACTAAATTATAACCTTAAACTTGCCCAAATAAAATTATACTTAATGGCTCAAAATTTTTTGGGTAGTATTTAATTGCTTTGAAAAATGTGTATCTTTTCTATGTTCAAATATAACAACAATCATGTTTATCTTAATCAAGGGTTGCAATAATAACAACAATATCATCATTCATAATCAACAAATACCATCCCATTCACCTTTTACAAAATAGCCTCTCTTTTTTTTTTTCTTTTTATAAAAAAAAGGGGGGTTTGGGCATTGCCAGGCTTTTGATTGAGCTTTAATATCCGACACTGTGACGACGTCGTAATTGAGAAAGCAAGCGCAATTGCCTGGATTTACCTCAGAAAATAATTTTCAACAACCGAACTTCAGAATTTGCCTGAAAAAATCCCAGCAATTAGTTCATTTGAGACCGGAAGACGATGGGGATGATGATGATGAAGACGACGACGATGCAGAGAAGAGCTTCTTCTGGGGTGATTGTTTCCATTGCTCGGTCTCAGGGAGCAGCGGCTTCGTTAGGTACTCCTGCTCCTGCAGGTTGTACTACTCTTGCATCATTCCTCTCTGCATTCCCAAACCATAAACCCCATTTGGCTTTTTATTCTGCTAGTAGTAGTAAATTTAAGAGTTCTTCTGAAAAAGCTCTGAAATTTCAACCTGAATTAAGGAATGATGATATTAATAATGTCAACAGTCTTGATGATGCTTTGAGCTTGTTCGAGCGGATGGCTCGGATGAGGCCTCTGCCTTCCGTTATTCAATTCAATCAAATGCTGACTTGTATTGTTAAGATGAAGAATCATTATTCTTCAGTTATTTCCCTTTTTAGAGATATGTGTGTCCAGGGCATTCCTGTTGATGAGGCCACCCTTAATATAATGATTAATTGTTGCTGCGTTGTGGGCCGAGTGGATTTAGCTTTTTCTACATTGTCTGGCTTCTTCAAACGTGGTTTTGTCCCTAATGTGGTCACCTTTAGCACTTTACTTAAGGGACTCTTCCGAGACCATAAGGTTCCTGAGGCGCAAGAATTGTTCAAAAAGATAATCAAAGAAAAACTTTGTAAACCCAATGAAACTATGTTGGGCATTGTGATAGATGGGCTCTGTAAGGCAGGAAACACTCAAACAGCCATTGAATTCCTCAGAGCAATGGAAAAACGAGGAAGTCCTTGTAAACCTGATGCAATTATGTATAATACCATCATGGATAGCTTGTGCAAGGATAAAATGGTTGATGAAGCTCTTGCCCTGTTACTGGAGATGATTGAAAAGGACATTCCCCCCAATGTTGTCACTTACAGTAGTTTGATTCAAGGTCTGTGCAACTTAAGCAGATGGAAGGACGTTGACAAGCTCTTTTCTGAGATGAAGGTTTATAAAATTGTTCCAGATGTTATTACTTTAAGTATAGTGGTGGATGCACTATGTAAGGACGGGCATATAGAAGATGCTGAAGAGGTAGTCCGGATCATGATCCAGCAAGGTCGAAATCCCGACGTGGTCACATACAGTTCCTTAATGAATGGGTACTGTTTACAGAGGCGAATAGATGACGCAAGGAGAGTTTTTGATACCATGGTTGCTAGCGGCCTTACACCTCATCTCCATTGCTATGGTATTCTGATAAATGCCTATTACAAGACCAAGAAAGTGAATGCAGCCATGAAGCTCTTTCGAGAGATTCCACATAAAGGTTTAACACCTAATATTGTTATTTATAACACTGTGTTGCAGGGGTTATTTAGTTCCGGAAGGTATCTTAGTGCACGAGAAATTTTCAATGAGATGCAAGCTTCAGGCATGAAGCCTGATTTTCACACTTACTGTGTGGTACTGGATGGATTATGCAAGACTGGACATGTCGATGAAGCATTGGAGTTATTCCATGCAACCCAAGCCAATGGAACAGATCTTCACATTGGAATGTACACTATCATGCTTGATGGGTTGTGCAAATGCAGGAGGGTCGATAGTGCCCGAGATCTTTTCAAAAATCTCTCACTCAAAGGACTGGACCCTAATGTTTTGACATACAGCATCATGATTGCTGGCCTACTTTCAGAAGGTTTGCTTGTGGAAGCTAAAGAGCTCTTTGAAAAAATGGAAGAGAACGGTTGCTTGGCAGATAGTGTTGCATACAATGTCATTCTGCAAGGACTCCTTAAGGGAGGTCATTATGAGGACGCAATGGCCTATTACGAAGAAATGGTTCACAGAGGATTCTCTTTGGATGCATCTACGTGTTCCATTTTGCTTGATTTATCTGCTGAGAATCAGAACAATCCTTCTGTGCTAATGTTGATGCTGAAGATTGATCCCAATAGCAAGAAGTTCATGGATGGGGGACAAAGAGGACCTTCACATTAGTTGTAACGTGTTGGCCCTGCAGTTTTTTGACCCCTAAACTTTAATTTGTTGGAACTATCGTTTGGATCCTGTTGTCACTTATCATCTTTGATGCAATTGAACCTTAGAGGAGATCTGTTGGTCGTATTTTGTGAAACACGTCAAAGATCTCCGGTTTGGTGGTGAAGCCGCTTTGCTTCCGGAAGTTCAATTGATAAGTGTAGCAGATCAAAGAAATCTGCTTCCATTAATTGGATTTGTACCACTTCTTATGAGAGACCTCTTGTCGATCTTTCCATGGAGAACCTTAGTGTGGCATATAACTTAAGTGGTAACTTGTACAGGTTATTTTTTCTTCGTTTTTCATGGGTGTTGGAACTTTAGCTTCCCTGTCAATTTTACTTTGGATAACTAATATTTTAATTTGTTGTAAATAAGAAATGAAATCTCATATGCAAATATAGTTTGTGACTTTGAATTTCCGGAAAAGTTTTAAGCTGCATTTCTGCAATTTCAAGAAATTTTTTCTAAGATAAAATTGTTAATTTTATTTTGATTCTTAAGTGGTGCCAAAGTTGCAGCCAGTTTATAAGTGTAAAAACTTTCTAGACCAGTTTCTTGCTTTGGATTCATAGTTTGAGGTCCCTAGGATAGTCATGGTTATTGATTTTTTTTTCACTGCATTTGACTGTACCCAAACTCTTTAAGCATGATCCAGAAAAAAGTATTCTGACCACTTCCCCTCTAATTGTCAATGCTATACTAAATTGTATAGACATTCAGTAGGAGTGTGGCAAAAATATCGTTCTTTTGCAATAACTTGGAATAGTTCATCCAAGAAACTCTCCGTTTTTTGACAATATACCTGATTATGGGTTTCTATCTTAGTATTTGGTTGTTCCTAAGTTAAAATAATAATTAAAGAATAGGTTTTTATTGCACAACTGCTATTAGGTCACCATCTGCAATAGTTTAAAAAAAAAAAAACTTACTGGCACATCACAATGGTAATAATATACTTTTCTAGTCTACCAAGTTTCGTTTCTATCATTTTTTTTTAAAATTCTGGCAGAGCAGGAGAGCAGTGGAATTTGTATAGCAGTGTGAAGATTTGACTTCAGCTTAGACTGGAGAGAGACAATTAATTAGGTATTAAAATGTATGGACATAGTTATGATGAATTTTATATGAAAGGATTCGGTTAAAGTGATTAAGACTAATTTTTTAAATTACTCTAGCAAACAAATTTTATTGCTTTATAATTATGTTTTAGCTAAGTATCTTATGCTGAAGAATGATGGATCATATCTATTGGCTGTGGAAGAAGTAAACTGTCTAGTGACCTATAAACAATGTTGAGAAGTGATCTTTTTTTTATCTGCCATATAGCTCTTTTGTGTAGATTTTGTTTCCATGATTTTGATACTGCATGCACTATTTAGCGATGGGTCATGTGTTGCAAAGAGAATGATGGTCACATGTTTTTGGATGCTGTTCAGAAAATTAAATCTTCTTGCTCATGTTGAAAATTATTCTTCCACACTGTCTTCACGTGCACGACTAAAATGCCATTGACTTTGTGCTAGTTTAAAAATCAATTTAGCACATTCGATTTAAAAAAAAAAAAACTAGCGGAATACTCCCACTTCTCAATATGAATGTCGAACTCCAGCAAAACTAGGACTATGCCTTATACTTTTTTGGATCTAATCTATCATGCAGGCTCGTTAAGAATGTAAGATATAGTTAGAGGTTAAAATCAAGTTTATTCAATTTTACAGAGAATGTGATTTCAATTGAAGTTATTAATATTTAATCGCTATATTTCATGATTGAGATATAGTACTTATCGAGGAAAAGCTATACGGGTGCCCTATTTTGACTGAAAGTCCATTAATTGCTATCTTACCATTCTCAGATGGATGAGTCTAAACTGCAAAAATTACTTCAAACCACATCCTATATAACATCTGTTCAAATAAAGTTGAAAGAAAATTAAGGGCAAGTCTTCATTTTAATTTGTTTTATTTTATTTCTTGGTGACAAACATTTAATGACAAGTCTTTGAAGTTTTATGAATATGCAAGTGAACATGCAAGAGAACAGTCTAAATATTACTTGCTGTGCCTTGTCTTTTTCTAAATCTCTGCTGTTTTATGATGAATCAAAATCATGTTTATCGAAAAAATTTTGCAGTCCTACTGACAACTTAGTTATCTTTTCTAATAGCTTTAGAGGATTATTCCCAATTTTGTGCACCAATATCCAAATTGTAAGATGGAAAACGTAATCTTGTTTCTGAATGTGGGAAAATAGTGTGTGATAAAAGTATTCTATAAATGGGATTTTTCTAGTAGCATCTATTCTATGTAGCTGGTTTAGTTTCCAAAGAATTTCATCACAATATTCTTTCCTACAGTATGCAGTAAATTTGAATTATTTACTGAAAAGATACTCAGCATGGAATGAAGATGCTGAATTTGTTTCTTGAATACTAGTAACCATTTTTTGTTAGTCATAAAATTTGTTTGATAAGGTCTTATTGGTTACTGAGGTGGAAATGAGATATTTGTTTTTGTTTTTCCTAGTCATTATTGGGCATGATCTGCAGTGATATGAATGACCTTTCAGTAATTGTAAATAATCTATTTGTGCTTGTGATCTATCTATTTGGCTTATTTGTCAAAGTTTTACACCATAGTTCTATTTGGCTTATTTTTGCTTATGTGTCAAACTGCTATCAGTACACTTGTGTGATTGCAAACTAATCTTTGTCTTTGGCAGACTTCGTTTCTTCCTTAATCAGTTAGTAGGTCTAGTTTCTTGAGTTGGTTGTCTCTAGTTTCAATTCTCATTAGAAAGTTTCTTGTAGCGTTTGATTCAGTTGTCTTGCACCCCCTACTCTTGGGACTTACTGCTTATATCTACCACGGCTGCTGCAATTTTGTTCAAGAGGAGAGTATACAAGAGAGAACCTCCATGGCTTGCACTGTGTTGCATTTCAAGGAAACCCCAATCTAGATGGTCATTCTTATAACAGCCAATCCAAAGCCAACATTAATTTGAAAGAGCTTTGTCCTGCAATCAATTGAATTGAGATCCTGGACCAAACCACTTGGGAATTGGATTTGAATTTCGTTGGATGTTGAACCAAGTTCATCTGAATCAGAGCCGGAATGATATGCAATGCCTTTCCTTAGACCTTGTGCCATCCTATGATTTATCCTCAATAGTGCCACCAATATCACTGCGAACTCCTCCCCAGTTGCCAAATTTTCTGCTTGATTGGGTTTTCTCAAAATGGCAACTCGATTTTATATTTTTGCTGTATGCTGACTTATGTTTATTTTGATGTAGTAGCCTGAACTTGTGTTTTTTCTCTTGTTGTATGCCGCTGTATTTTAACTTCCTTCCTCCGGTGGCCCTGGCATGTCACCTTATTTTTCCTTCATCCAGTGGCCTTATTTTACAGGTTTGACCTTGCCAATTTGATTTAATTACTTAAAGTGGAAGTCCCAGAGTATTATGTCTTTGAAATTACTTGGCATAGGGTTTTCTGCTATGGTATTTAGTCCCAATGTCAACTTTCTTCCTTCCTGCTTTTAGTTCTCCAAAAGGATATGTGGCTGTATTGTAGAGTGCATCAAGTACCATTTAGTAGTTTATCTCTTTGGCAATTTTGAGTTCATGGATCATTTTGACCGTGATCTTCTACTTTTGAGCAATAAACATCTTCTGCAAATAAATTAGCGCCTCTGGCCACCTAACCAAAAAAACTTGTGGCTCTGCCTGTTTGGTCTGTTGGTCAGGACACCCTGGATCTGTTCTGGTTTTGCCTTCTATAAACAACCGGAGAATCATCAAATGTTTAGTATAGCACACTCTTAATCACTTTTAGCACTGCAGTAGTACTCTCTATGTTCTTGTAAAGTTGACAAAAGCTAATTATTGGTGTATGATTTGTGTCCTTTATAAATACTATGCCAGCTTAGCTCCAAGAAATCCCATAGAGAATGCTTTTCCACAGAAACTCATTAAACTTCACACTAGCATATAGCAACTCTTCTGATCATGTCTCTAGCTCTAAGGTTGTTTTATCTCTCATTTAGCTGTTCAGAAGATTTGTCAGGCATAATTGTCAATTTGTGATCTATTAGATGGATGACTAGCTAAGACTTCCTGTGAATTATAAAATGTACTAGAAAGAGATCAGAATCGTAAAATTAAAGAAATTGATGAAAGTATTGGGAGTAAAAATTTTGTTGAGGGACTCCCCTTGTATCTATTCCTAATAAGATGGTCTCAGTTGATGCTGAGTAACTTCTTGCAGTTTTGGGGAAATAAATATGTTTAAATCGGTCAATAAGTTACTCATGGTTGGAGTCTACTAGTAATTTTCAAGTTAAATAGCTGAAAGAGATCAGAATCGGTCAATAAGTTGCTCTTAATATTGTTTAGTTATGGATGTTTACTCCTAACCGTGTTAGAGTTTTTAAGCTTGAGAAAGGTTAATTTCATAGGCAGACTGCTCAAGATAATATATTGAATTGCTAGTTTTTCATGTAGTTAATCGTCGAATGAAAAAATATTTGTTCCTTAACCTGCTTGTTTTATCATAAGCTTCATTTTGCATCACAGTTATGTTGATGAACATAAATCCCAACAAACCAGCAGCGGTATGAGATGCTAAAACAACAGCAACTCGTGTACCATAATTGTCGAGGTAGAAAAACTGTCCCTTGTCTTGAGATTCAGCAGTTGGATTTTCAGTCTGATGTAGCAGTCCAGTTAAATCTACATCGTCTCCTCAATTGCCAGAAGTTTTGTTCATCAATGATCACTAGCTGATTTGAGACTTTAGATGAGCTTGATATCTGTTGTATTGGCTCAAATATGGCAATGTTAGATGGCTGTTAGCTTGACTACCTTACTGAGTGCAAAACATGCGTTACCACACAAGATGGAATTGCTTAAAAGCTTTAGTTTGTGATTCTAGCTGTTGTTTGTGTCCATCTGTCGTGGCATCTTATGTTCAATAATTCTCTCTTATCAGATGCCATCAATTAATCAAGAAACTGGAATCCCAAACCCCGAGCCAACTGAGACTGCCGAGAGTTCCTTTGCACTTGAGTTAAAAACCATAGGGCACATATGTCAAAAAAAGTTGCAAAATCTTTGACTATGATCTATCGTCTTCCTCAATGGCATATTGACTATGAGAAGTTGAATATTACTGGTATCATTTGGATAAAACAAGACTTGATCAGACCATGCAGGCAAAGGAAAAGATGGCGACAATGGGAAATCCTGTCTCTGTTCCTTGGGTGTTTTCCTCTGGTGCCGATGCTGCCATTTGAAGGCTCTTATTCTTGCTTGAGAGGGGTAAAAATGAAATGTATTGTAATAACTAATTAGTTTTATATACTTGCCAATGTACAGGATGCCTATTAATTAAAAACCACAAAAAGTACAGCTGTTCATAAAAAAAAAGATTAAAAAAAAAGCTCACAAAGTGAAATTTGGCAGATACATTTTTAAATATAAGTTCCTGATAGGTCATAATTTGTTGCTAAATTTATAATTATTTTTCGCTTGATTTTAGTCAAATATTATTTTAATTGAGTGATTCTACTTATATTTGGTTAATGGTGCTAAATTGTAGAAAAATAACCAAAACATGATTAAAAGGGACAATTTTTAACTAATTTGATAGTGGTACGTTCGGGACCTATATTCAAGTCCAGAAGACTCGGGAATTTGTCGCGCATAGAGATTTCTTAGTTCGAGTCAAATATGGACATCTTTGATGAATTTGAACGACTTTAATTATCTTTGTTAGTTGTAGAGTTGAATTAGGAAACAATTAAGTATTATCTCTTTAGAATGTTTCCTTTTTCAATTGGGAGTTTGTTTCCTTTAGAAAACGAGAAAATAAGAAGAGCAAGTCGGACCCCGTGTGATTAAGAGTTAAGCCAGCAGCAATTTCGGGAGGAGTTGATTTTCCTTAAGAAGCTACAAAATAGGAATTGAGAGGGACGGCTGTGACTGGTCTCTTTTCTTTGTCTTCTTTTGTTAGTTTTTGGGAGAAGGAACCGAGGGTTATCAAGGGAGTTCCGCGGATTTCCCTTGAGAATGTGTAGTTAAATCTCTGTTTTCTAGTCAAGTCAAGGGGACAATTGAAGATTTGGTTCGGTAATTACGGTGAGATCTAAATTATTTTAACTGTTTCCTTCGTTTATTGGTATTTATATGTTTTCTGTTTTTATTTGTTATAGTTATTGTGTATGATTGAATAGTGCGCAATATTTAATTATTCGTGTAAGTTATTTTGCTAATTGGGGGTAGTTGAATCCGTAATTGTTCGATTACCTCCGTCCCGGTAGTAACTGGCGTAATTGGATTTATGTCAGGAAAACATACGATTTAATTTAAACAAACCCTCGTAGCGTGTTTGTTAGTCAGAATTGGGGTTTTCCAAATCTTAATGCAATTTAGAAATTAAATCTTATGGTCGTAATTAGGGTTGTTTTCGGGTTAGAAAAATAGTTAACGGTCGTACCTTAACTATTGATAAATTAAGGAAAAGTTGGTTATTTATCACGTGTATGACAACTATAACTAATCTATTAATAACTGTTGGAATTATATTTGCATCGATGATTAGTTGCATGAACCATTTCTGAAGTTTATCTTTGGCTAGAGTTTCTTCAATTATTTCTCTCAATTAATTATTTTTCGCATTTAATTTATTTAGTTGGCAATTTATTAGCATTTAATCCTAAAACCCCCTCGTTTGTCTTGACTCAAAAGGAAACGAACTTTTTTCCAGTTCCTGAGAAGACGACCCTACTTGCCACTGTCTACTAGTTGGTAATTCTATCAGCTAATTAATTCTGATATATCGGATTAAGCAAACTCTTCGAGAATATGGTGAATCAAGTAATTCATTGCACACCTAGAATTCATTCTCCAGTACTTGGGATTGATTATTGACTACTTTTGATGGTAGTTAAGTTTTTATTATAATTACACAGGTTCGGCGCCTGTCAATTTTTGGCGCCGTTGTCGGGGACTGGTGTTTGATTAATTTGTTTCTCTTTGAGTTCATCTTGTTTTTATTTTTTATTTTTCTTTTTTTTTAATGGCCGCTAACATTCCGTATTTTGTTAATAGACTAGATTTTATTCCTACAAAAGGAAATGAGGCTTGACGGGAGGGATGATTTTGTTAATAGACTAGATTTTATTCGGTATTTTGGAATAGTCGGACCATTTTTCTAGTATAATTTGCCGTTGACGGGAGGGATGATTTGGTAAAAACGATCCACTGTGTTACCAAGTGGTAAAAATGAAAAAATGATTCGCTATGTTTTTTTTTTTCGTTGACGATACTTATTATATAATCTATTCTATCCTATACTAGAGGGGGGAGTCTAAAGAGACTTGTGTTGGGAACTAGCATGTTTACAGACCTTATTAGACCAAAGGGGTGATTTGACACCATCATTGGATTTTTTTCGCTGCAGGTGGGATTTGAACCCTCACCTACAGCCTAAGAATGGCCGCTCAGTGGTTGATCCGTTGTGTTACCAAGTAGTAAAAGCAAATTACGTGTTGCTCTTAGTTTCCTTTTATTTTTCTCCCTCCAAATCTTTACATTCTTTTATTTTTTTTCCCTTTTCACAAACTCTTAAAACAATAAAATGGACAAAAATTCGACTTCACATTAAGAAGACTCTAATTTTAGACTAAAATAAGCTACCTTTTATGCGTCTAATTTTAGGTTACCTCTTACACTTGTGACTTATGTTGATTTTTAACCAAATTTTTTTATTTTTAATCTTTTTGTATATTTTGGAGAACTACTTATCCAAATTTTGAAACAAAAAGAAAATTTGGGCAAGTAATTATGCAAAATATACAAAAGGATGAAAATAAAAAACATAAGTACAAATCAATCTTTACTATACTAAAAACGAGAGTTGGGATTGCTACAGTGAAAATGGACCGGTTATCTCATGATTGTTGTGACTTTAAGGGGCGTTTTGGTCTTTTGCCATTCGGTAGTAGTGGCTTTGCTGGAAATTCGCAGCTGCCCGCGTGGCCTTGTTTCCTCTCATTCTTAGCAATTTAGGCGGTGAGTTCACTGCTGTCCGCGTGGCCTTGTTCCCTTCATTTTTTCCGTGCCCTTCTCTACCAGGTGTTTCTACTTTTAGTACAAGGGAACCTTGCACTCAGTTGCAAGCTGCTGCCCGGTTGATTTTTAAGTCCAGAGGGTCCTCCTGTTTTGGAATAAAAATTAAAAAAAAAATGAAGGAATCCCCTGGCCGTGTAAACATTTTTTTTTTTTTTTGCAAAAGGATAAACTTTCTTCATAAAAAAAATATGCAATTTAAGAAATGGATTATAGTTTTTAAACTTTTACAATAGTCCCAATTTTTCTTTCGAACATGAAAAAATGATTCTGTAAATACATATTTTCGGATTTTAAACACGAGTTTGTTACCCCATTTGTAAAATAGATCTACCGCCTAAATTATGGGCAACTTCGGTGGCTTTTGCATTCGTGCTTCAGTTGTGTGCTTGGTCAACTTTGGTGGCTTTTGTGTTCGTGCTTCGGAGTTCAGACGTGTATTTGTATCTTCATTGTATAGTTGTAGCTGCTTCAGCTCCCCTGGTGAGTGGGCGGTGGGTGGTGTCCGAAGCGGTCTGTGGGAGCCGCACAAAGCTCTCTTGCCTATGTAATCTTGAGAGAAAGCCATCTGAAAAGCAACATATTGGATGTGTTTCTTTCTCCAATTGAAGACCTAGATTTGGCGGTTTTACAAGGTGAAGTCTTCGCACTCTCACCTAGCTGATCTTGTAAGCAAGCCATCTCAAAAGCAATTTTTTCTTCCAATTAAAAGGTTCGGGTTCCATAATTTTGCGAGTTGAACTCTTTTTTTCCTTATAAGGTGAGGTCTAATGAGTCAGAATGTTTGTTCAAATCATTGTAATGGTTCACCGAAGGGTGTTAAAAATTTTTGAGATATTTTATAGGTTTCAACTGTTGTGAAATGGGAGCCATTGTTAGATTTGCTATGGCCATCTTGCTGCATGAGCATGGTTTTTCTGGTGATCAGTTTTTATGTTTTTGTCCCACTTGAAAGAGTTTGCAGAACAATTGGGTGCATATGATGTATATACAGGGATTTGTCTAATGCATTAATTACGCATTTTAAGTACAGTTTTGGCCTCAATAAAAGGCCTATCTGTCCTTCAAATTTCTTTCATTTAATATGAATGTGTATCGTCTTTGTTGGGTATATTTAGTTAGACCAAGTAATGTCATCCTGTATTTTACAAAATTATATCTGTGTGCTTGTTTAACCTAGCACAAGTTAATCACTTCTATGGCATGGTAAAAGTAGAGATTGAAAGTAAAACGACAAGAAATCCCATCCAATTAATGATCTTTTTCTTGGTTGATTAGGTAATTGCTGATCATTCATTTTTTATCTGCTCAAAATTAAAGGTAAGCATATCTCCGGTGCCAACATCACTTGTATACACAAATTCATAATACTCGCATGCAGGATCAAGTTTGCTCTTATGCAATTATGTCTTGATGTCTTGTCTTGTTGAATTAAAATTACTGGCTACTCTCTAAGGCCATTAATTTTAGAGTAAGATTATTATGGAATTTACTGGCTTGCCCAAATTGGACCATGTAACAACCTATTACAGTTAGTTTTTCTTTATTGCTCTAGCAAAAAAAATCTCGTTGCATTGACTGTTAGATCTTTAATAATTTATTGCAGTTATGAAATACTAATGTATCAATACTAGTGTATCGTATCGATATCTCACGTTAAGTCAATTAGTGGTCCAAGTCTAGTAGGTACAAAAATATCTTCAACATCATAAATAAATTGAGTAAATGACGACAATAGCCAATTTACCTAAAGTCAAATTCCCAATAGTTACTAGCACCCATCATGTATTTAATATATAATTATTTTATATTAATTCACTTGCCTTCTTTTGATCTTGTTTAACACAGACCCAGGGCAACCTCACGCATTGCATGAGATTGAAAAAAACTAGTATAAGTTAAAAATGTAAGATATAGTTTATTAGTCTAATATTTGAGACTCTACATTGATTAGGTTTTATTTGAATTATTTTTGAAATACTAAACTATAGTATTGCATATAAAAAAAACTTTTACTATAGTTATTTGTTGTGGTGTTTTAAAATTTAAAATTTTATGAGGGTATATTTTAAAGATTAAAAAAAACTACCACCCCCATCTCCTTTATCCACCTCCAACATTATCGTCGCATCACCAACACCCCACCCTCACTCGAACTTGATGAACACCGGAATCGAACCTTTGACTAAACTACGTGCAAGTTCTAGTCAAATAGCTTAACTAAATTATACCCCTAGACTTGGCAAAATAAAATTTGCTACATGGCTCAAAATTTGTTACTTAACGGGGTAGTATTTAATTGCTCTGAAAAAAATAACTTTTGTATGTTCAAATATGACTACCATCAAGTTTATCTTAATCAAGGGTTGCAATAATAACAACAATATCATCGTTCATAATCAACAAATGTCATCCCATTCGCCTTTTACAAAATAGCCTCTCTCTTTTTTTTCGAAAAAAAGGGGTTTGGCCATTGCCAGGCTTTTGATTGAGCTTTAGTATCCGACACTGCGACGACGTCGTAATTGAGAAAGCAAGCGCAATTGCCTGAATTTACCTCAGAAAATAATTTTCAACAACCGAACTTCAGAATTTGCCTGAAAAATCCCAGTAATTAGTTCATTTGAGACCGGAAGACGATGGGGATGATGATGATGAAGACGACAACGATGCAGAGAAGAGCTTCTTCTGCGGTGATTGTTTCCATTGCTCGGTCTCAGGGAGCAGCGGCTTCATTAGGTACTCCTGCTCCTGCAGGTTGTACTAGTCTTGCAGCATTCCTCTCTGCATTCCCAAACCATAAACCCCATTTGGCTTTTTATTCTGCTATTAGTAGTAAATTTAAGAGTTCTTCTGAAAAAGCTCTGAAATTTCAACCTGAATTAAGGAATGATATTAATAATGTCAACAGTCTTGATGATGCTTTGAGCTTGTTCGAGCGGATGGCTCGGATGAGGCCTCTGCCTTCCGTTATTGATTTCACTCAATTGCTGGACCGTATTGTTAAGATGAAGAAGCATTATTCTTCAGTTGTTTCCCTTTTTAGAGATATGTGTGTCAAGGGCATTCCTGTAAATGAGTACACCCTTACTATGGTGATTAATTGTTACTGCGTTGTGGGCCGAGTGGATTTAGCTTTTTCTACATTGGCTGGCTTCTTCAAACGTGGTTTTGTTCCCGATGTAGTCACCTTTGGCACTTTGCTTAAGGGACTTTTTAAAGAACAAAAGGTTCCTCAGGCACAAGAATTGTTCAAAAAGATAATCAAGGAAAAACTTTGTAAACCCAATGAAACTATGTTGGGGATTGTGATAGATGGGATCTGTAAGGCAGGAAACACTCAAACGGCCATTGAATTCCTCAGAGCAATGGAAAAACGAGGAAGCCCTTGTAAACCTACTGCAATTATTTACAATACTGTCATTGACAGCTTGTGCAAGGATAAAATGGTTGATGAAGCTCTTGCCCTCTTACAGGAGATGATTGAAAAGGACATTCCCCCGAATGTTGTCACTTACAGTTGTTTGATTCAGGGTCTGTGCAACTTAAGCAGATGGAAGGATGTTGACAAGCTCTTTGCTGAGATGAAGGTTTATAAAATTGTTCCAAATGTTATTACTTTTAGTATAGTGGTGGATGCACTATGTAAGGAAGGGCATATAGAAGATGCTGAAGAGGTAGTCCAGATCATGATCCAGCAAGGTCAAAATCCCGACCTGGTCACATACAGTTCCTTAATGGATGGGTACTGTTTACAGAGTCGAATAGATGACGCAAGTAGAGTTTTCAATGCCATGGTTGCTAACGGCCTTACACCCGATCTCCATTGCTATGGTATTCTAATAAATGCCTATTACAAGACCAAGAAAGTGAAAGCAGCCATGAAGCTCTTTCAAGAGATTCCACATAAAGGTTTAACACCTAATATTGTTATTTATAACACTGTGTTGCAGGGGTTATTTAGTTCAGGAAGGTATCTTAGTGCACGAGAAATTTTCAATGAGATGCAAGCTTCTGGCATGAAGCCTGATTTTCACACTTACTGTGTGGTACTGGCTGGATTATGCAAGACTGGACATGTCGACGAAGCATTGGAGTTATTCCATGCAACCGAAGCCGATGGAACAGATCTTCACATTGAAATGTACAATATCATGCTTGATGGGTTGTGCAAATGCAGGAGGCTCAATAGTGCCCGGGATCTTTTGAAAAATCTCTCCCTTAAAGGATTGGACCCTAATGTCATAACATACAACACCATGATTGCTGGCCTGCTTTCAGAAGGTCTGCTCATCGAAGCTAAAGAGCTCATTGAAAAAATGGAAGAGAAGGGTTGCTTGGCAGATAGTGTTACATACAATGTCATTCTGCAAGGACTCCTTATGGGAGGTCATTATGATGATGCAGTGGTCTATTATGAAGAAATGGTTCATAGAGGATTCTTGCTGGATGCATCTACGTTTTCCATTTTACTTGATTTATCTGCTGAGAATCAGAACAATCTTTCTGTGCTAATGTTGATGCTGAAGATTGATCCCAATAGCAAGAGGTTCATGGATGGGGGACAAAGAGGACCTTCACATTAGTTGTAACATGTTGGTCCTGCAGTTTTTTGGCCCCTGATGTTTAATTTGCTGGTAGGAATGGTACTAAGGTTCACATTTGATCCTTTTATCACTTATCATCTTTGTTTAGAGGAGGTCTCTTGGTAACATTCTGCAAGGACTCCTTAAGGGAGGTCATTATGATGATGCAATGGTCTATCATGAAGAAATGGTTCATAGAGGATTCTTGGTGGATGCATCTACATTTTCACATTTTACTTGATTTATCTGCTGAGAATCAGAACAATCTTTCTGTGCTAATGTTGATGCTGAAGATTTACCCCAGTAGCAAGAAGTTCATGGATGGGGGACAAAGAGGACCTTCACATTAGTTGTAACATGTTGGTCCTGCAGTTTTTTGGCCCCTAAACTTTAATTTGTTGGAACTAATGTTTGGATCCTGTTGTCACTTATCATCTTTGATGCAATTGAACCATAGAGGAGATCTGTTGGTCATATTTTGTTAAACACCTCAAAGGTCTCCAGTTTGGTGGTGAAGCCACTTTGCTTAGGGAAGTTCAATTGATAAGTGTAGCAGATCAAAGAAATCTGCTGCCATTAATTGGATTTGTACCACTTCTTATTAGCGACCTCTTGTCGATCTTTCCATGGAGAACCTTATTGTGGCATATCACTTAAGTGGTAACTTGTACAGGTTATTTTTTCTTCGTTTTTCATGGGTGTTGGAACTTTAGCTTGCCTGTAAATTTTGCTTTGCATAACTAATATTTTAATTTATTGTAAATAAGAAATGAAATGTCATATGCAAATATAGTTTGTGACTTTGGATTTCTGGAAAAGTTTTAAGCTGCATTTCTGCAATTTCAAGAAATTTTTTTGTAAGATAAAATTGTTACTTTTATTTTGATTCTTAAGTGGTGCCAAAGTTGCAGCCAGTTTATAACTGTAAAAACTTTCTAGACCAGTTTCTTGCTTTGGATTCATAGTTTGAGATCCCTAGGATGGTCATGGTTATTGATTTTTTTTTCACTGCATTTGACTGTACCCAAACTCTTTAAGCATGATCCAGAAAAAAGTATTCTGATCACTTCCCCTTTAATTGTCAATGCTATACTAAATTGTATAGACATTCAGTAGGAGTGTGGCAAAAATATCGTTCTCTTGCAATAACTTGGAATAGTTCATCCAAGAAACTCTCCGTTTTTTGACAATATACTTGATTATGGGATTCTTTAATTTTAGTACTTAGTTGTTTATAAGTTAAAATAATAATTAAAGAATAGGTTTTTATTGCACAACTGCTATTAGGTCACCATCTGCAATAGTTTAAAAAAAAAAACTTACTGGCACATCGCAATGGTAATAATATACTTTTCTAGTCTACCAAGTTTCGTATCTATCATTTTTTTTAAAATTCTTGTTCTTTTTTGGCAGAGCAGGAGAGCAGTGGAATTTGTATAGCAGAGTGTGAAGATTTGACCTCAGCTTCTACTGGATAGAGACAATTAATTAGGTATTAAAATGTATGGAAATAGTTATGATGAATTTTATATGAAAGGATTCGGTTAAAGTGATTAAGACTAATTTTTTAAATTACTCTAGCAAACAAATTTTATTGCTTTATAATTATGTTTTAGCTAAATATCTTATGCTGAAGAATGATGGATTATATCTATTGGCTGTGGAAGAAGTAAACTGTCTAGTGACCTATAAACAATGTTGAGAAGTGATCTTTTATTGATCTGCCATATAGTTCTTTTGTGTAGATTTTGTTTGCATGATTTTGATACTGCATGTACTATTTAGCGATGGGGTCATGTGTTGCAAAGAGAATGATGGTCACATGTTTTTGGATGCTGTTCAGAAAATTAAATCTCCTTGCTCATGTTGAAAATATATTTTTGTGTCCTAAGGTGGATTTCAACCAGGCCTCGTAGAAATGTTTCCAGAATGAAATTAAGATATACGTTCTGAGTTAGTATTATTCCAAATTTAGCTGAAGTTTAGCTTAGACAGTGTTATTCTTCCACACTGTCTTCACGTGCATGGCTAAGATGCCATTGACTTTGTGCTAGTTTAAAAATCCATTTAGCACATTCGATTTAAAAAAAAAAAAAAAAAACTAGCGGAATACTCCCACTTCTCAATCTGAATGTCGAACTTCAGCAAAACTAGGACTATGGCTTACATTTTTTTGGATCTACTCTATCATGCAGTCTCGTTAAGGCAGAATACTCCCACTTCTGAATATGAATGTCTAACTCCAGCAAAACTAGGACTAGGCCTTATACTTTTTTGGGTCTAATCTATCATGCAGGCTCGTTAAGAATGTAAGATATAGTTAGAGGTTAAAATCAAGTTTATTCAATTTTACAGAGAATGTGATTTCAATTGAAGTTATTAATATTTAATCGCTATATTTCATGATTGAGATATAGTACTTATCGAGGAAAAGCTATACAGGTGCCATATTTTGACTCAAAGTCCATTAATTGCTATCTTACCATTCTCAGATGGATGAGTATAAACTGCAAAAATTACTTCAAACCACACCCTATATAACATCAGTTCAAATAGAGTTGAAAGAAAATTAAGGACAAGTCTTGATTTTAATTTGTTTTATTTTATTTCTTGGTGACAAACATTTAACGGCAAGTCTTGCATTGAAGTTTTATGAATATGCAAGTGAACATGCAAGAGAACAGTCTAAAAAATACTTGCTGTGCTTTGTCTTTTTCTAATCTTTGCTGTTTTACGATGGATCAAAATCATGTTTATCAAAAAAATTTTGCAGTCCTACTGACAACTTAGTTATCTTTTCTAATAGCTTTAGGGGAGGATTCCCAATTTTGTGCAACAATATCCAATTGTAAGATGGAAAACCTAATCTTGTTTCTGAATGTGGGAAAATAGTTTGTGATAAAAGTATTCTATAAATGGGATTTTTCTAGTAGCATCTAGTCTATGTAGCTGGTTTAGTTTCCAAAGAATTTCATCACAATATTCTTTCCTACAGTATGCTGTAAATTTGAATTATTTACTGAAAAGATACTCAGCATGGAATGAAGATGCTGAATTTGTATCTTGAATACTAGTAACCATTGTTTGTTAGTCATAAAATTTGTTTGATAAGGTCTTATTGGTCACTGAGGTGGAAATGAGATTTTTTTTTTGGTTTTTGCTAGTCATTATTGGGCATGATCTGCAGTTATATGAATGACCTTTCAGTAATTGTAAATAATCTATTTGTGCCTGTGATCTATCTATTTGGCTTATTTGTCAAAGTTTTACACCATAGTTCTTGTGTCAAACTGCTATCAGGACACTTGTGTGATTGCAAACTAATCTTTGTCTTTGGCTGACTTCGTTTCTTCCTTAATCAGTTAGTAGGTCTAGTTTCTTGAGTTGGTTGTCTCTAATTTCAATTCTAATTAGAAAGTTTCTTGTAGCGTCTGATTCAGTTGTCTTGCACCCCCTACTCTTGCGACTTACTGCTTATATCTACGACGGCTGCTGCAATTTTGTTCAAGAGGAGAGTGTACAAGAGAGAACCTCCATGGCTTGCACTGAGTTGCATTTCAAGGAAACCCCAATCTAGATGGTCATTCTTATAACATCCAATCCAAAGCCAACATTAATTTAAAAGAGCTTTGTCCTGCCATCGATTGAATTGAGATCGTGGACCAAACCATTTGGGAATTGGATTTGAATTTCGTTGGATGTTGAACCAAGTTCATCTGAATCAGAGCCGGAATGATATGCAATGCCTTTCCTAAGACTTTGTGCCATCCTATGATTTATCCTCAATAGTGCCACCAATATCACTGGAAACTTCTCCCCAATTGCCAAATTTTCTGCTTGATTGGGTTTTCTCAAAATAGCAACTCAATTTTATATTTTTGCTGTATGCTGACTTATGTTTATTTTGATGTAGTAGCCTGAACTTGTGTTTTTTCTCTGCTTGTATGCTGCTGTATTTTAACTTCCTTCCTCTGGTGGCCCTGGTATGGCACCTTATTTTTCCTTCATCCGGTGGCCTTATTTTACAGGTTTGACCTTGCCAATTAGATTTAATTACTTAAAGTGGAAGTCCAGAGTATTATGGCTTTGAAATTACTTGGCATAGGGTTTTCTGCTATGGTATTTAGTCCCAATGTTAACTTTCTTCCTTTCAGCTTTTAGTTCTCCAAAAGGATACGTGGCTGTATTGTAGAGTGTATCAAGTACCATTTAGTAGTTTATCTCTTTGGCAATTTTGAGTTCACGGATCATTTTGACCTTGATCTTCTACTTTTGAGGAATAAACATCTTCTGCAAATAAATTAGCACCTCTGGCCACCTAACCAAAAAAACTTGTGGCTCTGCCTGTTTGGTCTGTTGGTCAGGACACCCTGGATCTGTTCTGGTTTTGCCTTCTATAAACAACCGGAGAATCATCAAATGTTTAGTATAGCACACTCTTAATCACTTTTAGCACTGCAGTGGTACTCTCTAAGTTGTTGTAAAGTTGACAAAAGCTAATTGTTGGTATATGATTTGTGTCCTTTATATATACTATGCCAGCTTAGCTCCAAGAAAGCCCATAGAGAATGCTTTTCCACGGAAACTCATTAAACTTCAACTAGCATAAAGCAACTCTTCTGATCATGTCTCTAGTTCTAAGGTTGCTTTATCTCTCATTTAGTTGTTGAGAAGATTTGTCAGGCATAATTGTCAATTTGTCATCTATTAGATGGATGACTAGCTAAGACTTCCTGTGAATTATAAAATGTACTAGAAAGAGATCAGAATCGTAAAATTAAAGAAATTGATGAAAGTATTGGGAGAAAAAATTTTGTTGAGGGACTCTCCTTGTATCTATTCCTAATAAGATGGTCTCAGTTGATGCTAACTTCTTGGTGTTTTGGGGAAATAAATATGTTTAAATCAGTCAATAAGTTACTCATGGTTGGAGTCTACTAGTAATTTTCAAGTTAAATAGCTGAAAGAGATCAGAATCGGTCAATAAGTTGCTCTTAATATTGTTTAGGTATGGATGTTTACTCCTAACCATGTTAGAGTTTTTAAGCTTGAGAAAGGTTAATCTCATAGGCAGACTGCTCAAGATAATATATTGAATTGCTAGTTTTTCATTTAGTTAATCGTTGAATGAAAAAATATTTGTTGCTTAACCTGCTTGTTTTATCATAAGCTTCATTTTGCATCACAGTTATGTTGATGAACATAAATTCCAACAAACCAGCAGCGGTATGAGATGCTACAGCAACTCGTGTACCATAATTGTCGAGGTAGAAAAACTGTCCCTTGTCTTGAGATTCAGCAGTTGGATTTTCAGTCTGATGTAGCAGTCCAGTTAAACCTACATCGTCTGCTCAATTGCCAGAAGTTTTGTTCATCAATGATCACTAGCTGATTTGAGACTTTAGATGTGCTTGATATCTGTTGTATTGGCTCAAATATGGCAATGTTAGATGGCTGTTAGCTTGACTTCGTTACTGAGTGCAAAACATGCATTACCACACAAGATGGAATTGCTTGAATGCTTTAGTTTGTGATTCTAGCTGTTGTTTGTGTCCATCTGCAGTGGCATCTTATGTTCAATAATTCTCTCTTATCAGATGCCATCAATTAATCAAGAAACTGGAATCGCAAACCCCGAGCCAACTGAGACTGCCAAGAGTTCCTTTGAATCAAGTATTGCACCTGAGTAAAAAAAAAACATAGGGCTCATATGTGAAAAAAAAGTTGCAAAATCTTTGACTATGATCTATCATCTTCCTCAATGGCATATGGACCGTGAGAAGTTGAATATTACTGGTATCATTTGGATAAAACAAGACTTGCTCCGACCATACAGGCAAAGAAAAAGATGGCAACAATGGGGAATCCTGTTTATGTTCCTAAGGTGTTTTCCTCTGGTGCCGATGCTGCCATTTGCAGGCTCTTATTCTTGCCATTGCCCAATAATCTGCTGTACGACAAACGAAGAACCAAATAAATAAGTTCAATTCATGTATAACTTCCCCTGTTAAAAGGGAAATGGGAATGATTTTCATCTTAATGAACCATCTCTCCATAGACACCTGCCACTTTCTTAACTCCTCTGTTGGATGCCACGGCAAAGGTGGTCTGGCAATGAACGAAACAAGTATAACGACTATAATGTGGTGATCCTGAGTTCAGCCTAGGCTCGTTCTTTATATAATGCCGCGAGAACATAACACTAGAGTTTGCTCAAACACTAATATGTGCAATGAAAGGCCAATCAAAGGTTCAAGCATTACTTGAACTTGTTTAGGGACACAAGCCTAAAATTCTTAGATAAGTGTGTAAAGGCTATTACTTAAAGCTATTAAAATCTAAAACCTGCCATAATTGATAAATTCATTTAAAGAAGTCAGAAAACCAGGGCGGAAAGACCGCTGCAGATTAGCTTGGGATTCCTATTCAAATCAAACGGAGTTTGTGCCAGCTTTGGGAAGCGACAAGGCAACACTTTATGGTGTCCAGGCCATCTTTGGAAATGATAGCAAGCTCCAGTTAGACGTCTGCCCAATCACTCAATTGGAAGTCAAATTTAGACCAAAATACAGTTTCAGCTGAGTTGTATACATCTAATTGCTGGCAAGATCTCGAATCCTCTACGATTAAGATAAGCAACATTCATACACTTAAAACAGGGTCTTTGTCATGGCAAATGTGAAACAAATCAAAATAATTCTGGGCAACACTGCTTGATGCAAACGAATTGTCGCTCACAGATCTTGCACGCTCAAACCTGCAATAATTGAAAGAGTACGTAAGAAACTCCAGCAAAGTTCATAAAACAACAATATCAACTACATCACATGGACCAGAAGTCTATGCATAGAACACTTGCAAACTAAAGCCGCTAGCCAATTTCCTATCCATTCGGTTTTTGGTCATAAATGGTTAACATTCATGCCAGAACACCCAACTTGAAGTTTCAAACTCAGCAACAAAGACATGAACTTAAATAATTAAGCATACTAGTTTGAGAATGCAGAAGGAAACGAAAAGGTATAGCACAATAACTTGGGACCTAAAAGAATCTACTTAAACCAGAGTCTACTGGTTCTATATGACTACTACATCATCAACCATGACAGAATAAAGTTAAGATATAAACAACATGCAATCCAGCTTGGACTGCACTAAACATTTTATGCTTTGCTATGCTGCCTTCAATACAGTAGAGATTTTTTGCAGAGAAAATACTACTACAGGTCACTTGAACTATGCAGGTAAATGGTGTAAAAACAGTAATCACCAACCTGGGGGAAGTGATTGCTTCAACTTATCAGCCTTCTCAGAGTCAAAGACGCAGAGTGTGTACAGATACTTAGAGCAGCGCACCTTGAACTTCACCACATCTTTGCTCCTCTTTATCTTCACTGACCGTGCATCCTTCCTTCTAGCTGTTAGAAGAAAATCCTTGATCTCGTGTATTTGCTTAGGCTAAGATCATAAATCCAAACAAAGCAATTAATAACATCCATCATCAATAAAAAAAAATATGACCCAAGTTTAATTTTAACCTTGAATGTAATATATAAAGCAAAAGCTATTGCACCATAAAGAAAGAAAAAGTAAAGACTGCAATTCTCTCCAGCCAGTTTTCTATATTATTAACTTTATCTTTATGAGAAGCCTTTTCAGTTCTATTGCTTTCGGCTTCCTTCCAAAGAATCGTAGTAAAATTACCAGAAGATACCACCAATTCTGAACCGGGTCATAGTCTAACAATAAAGATAAGACAAGTCTGAGCTGACAAAATCAATACAAACAACACTAGTCCACCATCATTCAAAGTCTAGAAGGAAATACAATTCACCCATTGAATACAAAAAATATACCTAGATGTTTGCCTATTGGCGTTAACTCAGTCTGACATGATTCAAACTCAAACATTTTATATGACAAATCCCTCCCCCTTCCTCCCCCCAAAAGAAAACCTTGAGCTCACCAAGCTAACAGGAATGCAATTGCAAAGAAAAATTTTATGTCAATCCAGAACAACTACTAACCGAACACCTACAGTCACGGTTAGTAGTTGTTTCAAAGAGCTCCATGAGGACCCCCGCTTAATATGCGAATTAGCAAGTGGGGTCTTTTATATGTCCACATGGAGCTGGTCCTGGAGCAATTCCTAGGCTCCGGACCAAACATAAAACTCCTCCATGCAAAATAAGAATCTCTCTCCCAGCAAGATAATTCCTCAGAAAGCTCCAGCAATTGCTGCTCATAACACTTCACTAAAAATCCCCTTATCCCCAAAGCATTCAAGCATTAATTAAATCTTCTCACAGCCTATTGAAAACCCTATACTTTAACCACTATCCTAACTTACCCTAAAGGTAAAAACGAGACAATAAAAATCTGCAATAATCAGCAATGCAATAACGTGAATCATGTACTTTCCAACCAGAATCCACACTAATCAAACGATTTGACTGTTTAAAAATGTTCCAAAGAAATGATGAATAAACAAAACAAATTCTAGATAGAACCTACAAACTGACGATTCACCCAAAAAAAGAGAACCAATATCTTTCAAAATAAGACATAATTACGGCACCGAAAACTAGATTGAAATATTAAATCGGAAGAAATACAAAGAAGAGAGCTATTACCATCTTTGGAGCTAGGGTTTCGCCGCGATGAAGAGCAAAGTTAAGCCTTCTGCTGTGCTGCTGCTCCTCCCTAACCAGTCTAATGAGTATCTGACATTAGAGGAGAATGGTATATATACCAAGCCAGTATAAAACCCTAGGATTTTGTTTCCTTTATTTGCCGGTTTTACCCCTTCTTTGGACTATATTGTATGGGCAGTAAAAAAGGAAGCGGGAGAAGGGATTTTTACTTAAATATTCGTGATTGGATTATGGTCGAATAATTGATATTTCATTAATATAAAAAAAATTTTAATTTGAGATTTATAATATAGATTAGTTAAATAAATTTAATGCATAATTAACAATATAAAATTTACTTATTAATGGTGCTTTTAAGGCCACATGTCTCCACAGAAGTATAAATTATGACTCATAATACTATTCACTAGATTGGTATGTAATATACTATATTAGTGGGTATGTAATATATAATATATTTTATTAAAATATAGAATTTGGTAATTCAACGAGTAATCGAAAATTTCGAAATCAAATTTAAATATCTAAGTACAAACTATTTTACCAAAGTTCGGAATAACATTCTTTACCGAAATCCATTTTGCCTTTTATATTTACGAAAACTATTTCAGCTTAGTATTTGTTTTAATGGTATTTTTTTGGGCACCCGTTATCATATTTAAAAATCACATAATTTACTATATATATCTACATATTGGGTAAATTCCATTTAAAGTATGCTTGATTTTCTACTTCAGTCCCTAAACTTTAAAATAGGACACTTAAATCCATAAACTTTAAAATCTGTCTCATTTAAGGAAAATCGTTGACGGAATCCACAAACCTGTCAGGGTTTTTCGAACGTATAAAACACGCGCTGTTAGTGAGGGGCATTTAGGAAAAATCATTTTTTCTGAATGTAGACACCAAATTTTAGCGTGATTTCATTTACTATTTATTTCTTAGTTTTTATTTGTCGTGTTAAATTTTATTCACTTTTTAGTTAGTTTTTTATTATTTTTAAGGTTTTTAGCGCAGAATTTATCGAAAAGGAAAAATCATTCACAAAAATGTTTTATTTTTCTTTTAGATTCAAATTTAATGTTTTTGTTATTGTTATTATTTTGTTTCAAATAATTCTTTGAAGAAAAAAAAGGAAAAGAAGGAAAATCATTCAAAATATGCTTTAGTCGTTTTAATATAATGTTTTCTCGAAAAAAAAAAAAAAAGTGGCCGCGGCATGCAAGCTGCATATTTTTGCAGCTTGCAAAGGACAGCCACGGAGGTCCCTTTGGAGGGCTGGATGTGAAGGTAGGGGAGGCCTTTCATCCTCACCATTGGGGTGAGGGTTTAGGAACTTAGAGTTCCGTATAAAAGGAACGAGAAACAACAGCCGCAAGAGGTTTTTTTTTTTGGAGAGGGCGGCTGTCTAAAAAAGAAAAATAGAAGGCAAACAAAAGCAGTGGAGAAAGGGAGGAGAAATTAGTGACGGCTGGTTGAGAAAGGGAAGTGACTAGGGTTCTAGAGAGAAAAGAACGCAGCTTTGGGGGAAAGGGAAAAGGGGCTGAGATATTGGAGAGAGGACTGGGGTAGCATGGAAGGGCTAGAGAGAAAGCGAAAGTAAGGGAACCAAAGGGGTAGACGATTGGTGAGGGAAAAGGAAAGGAACAACAGAGGGAGAGGGAGCTGACGGCTGAGGGCTCCAGGAAGAATCTGAATAGCAAGGAAGGAAGAAAAGGTTTCTGGTTCGTTGGAGCAAAGAAAAGAATCAGGAGGTGCAGCTGCAAGAGAGCCAGAGAGACAAAGATTTCATCTTTTGGAATACATCAAGCTTCGGTCAAGGATTAAAGGTAACATTTTTTACTTTGGACTGGTTTATAAGTTGCTGAATCATGTTTGAATGCTGAAAGTCTTGGTCTTTACACTTGATTGTGTCCTTCATACAAGTTCTATCTATGAATCTGGTTTGAGTTTGAAGAAAAAGGGGTTTGCGTTTAGCTATGCTTGTTTTGTTAATGTCCATGGCTGTTTCTCTTGGTGGTCTTTATGCGCAATCTGGGTTGAAAAATTATGGGAAATGCATAATTTATGGCTGGGTTTGAGGATAGGTCGTATAAAGTTTTGTTTTGTTTTGAAGAGATGGATGTTTTCTTGGGTTTTTGTGGGCTGCATATGTCCTAAATTCCATTGTTAGATTATGAAAAGAAAAATGGTGGCTGGAAAATGGATTTTTTTATCTGCTGAATGTGTTTGTTGCGTGATTTGTGTTGACTGGAGTCCTGCGGAAGTAGTGGGTATAATTGCATTTCCATCTGAATTCATGTTTCACGGCTGTTTTCCTGCCTGTTTGAGAGCTGGAAATTGCAGAAATTTCTGGAGTTTGCTAACAGATTTGATTGCAGAAAGTTTACTTCTTCCGTAACTTGCATGAAGTTGGCTGCAACAAGCTGAAGTCCTTTGGTTTGTTGCAGCAGCATGGGTCAAATTCTGTTGTTTTTTTTTCTCCCGCTGGTTTGAAATTTTGGAGTTTACGATTTCTTTGATCTTTGGCTAAGTGCATCCTGGACATGTTGGCTTCAAGTTACATTTTCTCTGTTGAGAATTGCATTTCTTGCCATGGTAATGAACCAAACCTGGAAAATTGCAGCAAGCTTTGATTGCAGAATGTTTCTTCGTTGCCTTGCATGAATTCCTTCATGAATTAACATAGTTTCCTCATATGATTTTGCTTGCTTGGATTATGGTAGTTCTGCAGTTGTTAGTTAGTTCAAAGCTTGGAAGATTGATTAAGAAGTTTTCTAATCTATTCTTGGTTGCCGAGGCTTCAAAGCTTAGGAAGCAAATTGCAGAAAATCTTGTTCCTCAAAGTCAGCATTTTGTCCTGATCATTTTTGTTGCATTTTTGAGTTCAAAACCTGTTTGATCCTACTCCTACCTTTGCTTCAAATCTCTGCATTTTGATTTGAG